CTTCAGATTTCAAGTTGTGGCCTTTTTCATTGGAGCATAGAAATGTCTGTTTTAACTTTTATTGACATGGTCACATGTATACACTCATATATCATAATTGATTTTTTTCTGCATTGTTTTGTCTTCCTTTAATGTGTGCACTATTTAATAAGTCAAGTGGGCTGTTTGTGACAGTGTTTACTATGTACATGTGTACTATCGCATGTAATTGGAAATAATTGAATTTAGATATAAATTATTTTGTGTTTTAGGGATTTTAATTAATTAATTACAATAAAGGTAATTCATTTTCCTCTAAATTATTAATCATTCTCAAATAAAAGAAAAATTGTAAGTTATTAATCATAAATTAAATTATAATTATAATTGAACCCAGGTCTGATTATGGCTCTTTTTTAACTTTAAATAATTTCTACCTTGTCTAGGCTGTACATTGAACTTAGAATAATTTCTACCTTGTCTAGACTGTACATTGAACTTAGAATAATACAAATGTATCTACATAAATCAAGCACCTGTCCTGCTGTCAGCTTCACTGATCAGATATAGTTTTATACCCATTAATTGTTCTATACAGTTTTATCTTTGTATTTTACAGAATAAGAATAGTCAGTGTCATAAATATTGGAAGGATACAGAGGACAGATTACTACAGTGTCAAGCTTTTAACAAGAGGAGCCTCTGTTACAAACCAAGCCTGATACCATATTTACAAGAATTTGTAACAGAGTTACCAACGTCCCCGCCTCTGGAAGTTTAATTTGAAGCATAAAATTGTGCTATTTCAAAAGATTGAGGTATGGATCTCAAGACTTTCAGTCCAAAATTATGTTCAATGCCAGATCTGCAAATGCAACAATAAATTTATTAAAGAAATAAAATGAAACACCGAAAAAAAATCTATCATGTTAAGCTTTGACCTCTAAGTGTGACCTTGACCTTGGAGTTAGGGGTGCAGGTGTTGTGCATGACATATCGTCTTATTATTGTAACTATTTGTGCCAAGTTTTTTTCAAAATCCCTTCACCTATGAAGAAGTTATAGATTGGACACAAAATATCCCCTATAACAGACTATGTTAATCTTTGATCTCTAAGCGTGACCTTGACCTTGGAGGTAGGGACACAGGTGTTATGCATGACATATCATCTTATCATTGTGACTATTTGTGCTAAGTATTTTCAAAATCCCTTGATCAGTGAAGAAGTTATAGAGGGGACACAAAATATACCATATAACAGACTCTGTTAACATTTGACCTCTAAGTGTGACCTTTACCTTGGAGGAAGGGCTGCAAGTGTTGTACTTGACATATCATCTTATTATTGTGACTATTTGTGCCAAGTTATTTCAAAATCCCTTGAACTATGAAGAAGTTCTAGATCGGACACAAAATATACCCTATAACAGACTATGTTAATTTTTTACCTCTAAGTGTGACCTTGACCTTGGAGGTAGGGATGCAGGTGTTGTGCATGACACATTGTCTTATTATAGTGACTATTTGTGCCAAGTATTTTCAAAATCCTTTAATCTTTGAAAAAGTTATGGACTGGACACAAAATATACCCTGTAAAGAGACTATATTAATCTTAGACCTTCAAGTGTGACCTTGACCTTGGAGGTAGGTGACCGGTTGTTGCGCATGACCTATCGTCTGATTATTGTGAACCATTGTGGCAAGTATTTACAAAATCCCTTCAAAGATAAGAAAGTTATGGACTGGACACGACATATACCCTCAAATAGACAATGTTGACCTTGAATGAGCAAGTGCGACCTTGACCCTGGAGGTAGGGGTCTGGTTGTTGTGCATGACACATTGTCTTATTATAACAAATATTTGTGCCAAGTTATTTCAAATTCCTTTGATAAATGACAAAGTTATGGACCGGACACGAAAGTGTGACAGACGGACAGACGGATGGACAGACGGACGGACAGACTCACAAAATGGTACTTGTGTGACTTTTCCTTTGATCTTTTTGGCCATTTTTAGTCACACAAGGCTTAAAAAAAGGCACACAAGTAAAAACGGAATGAATAGGATCAAAGAGAATTTACTGTTACCCATTGTTCTCTAAGTCACACAAGTACCTCTTGGTTCGTACGGACGGACAGACGGACGGAGCCTATTTCTATATCCCCCTTTTTTCTTCGAAAAGGCGGGGGACAATAAAATTGACTGATACTAAAGTGATAGAAATAGACAGATACCATAGTGATAGAAATAGATTGATACCAAATTTGAATATAAAATTTATATGTTTATAACAGTGTCGATATCATATAACTGTTATATAATTATGTGAATGTAATATTTGTAAATATTTCACCATTATATAATAATGTTTGTAAATATAATAAGTTCTTCAAAATGGAGGGAATAAAAAATATCTACATATTTAATTTCAAATTGTTCTTTTATTAAAGCATAAACATCTATCTAACATACAAATATTTGGAATAATCAACTTATAAAAGTAACAAAAAAAATATCTTTAATAATTTGCCAATACAAAAATAACAAAACAATAATAACAATAAATATGCGATAAAAAAACAATATAAAATATAAATGAAAAATTACTAAATAGTTAAATTTTGAACATTTCACATATAAAATGTTAGAGATTGGACCTGATTCAAAATGAGGTCTGTTTGCAATAACTGGATTCAGTACATTGTGGTTCTTTATTAAAACTATGTACGCATTTTCATGAAACCTTCATATTTATTGTTGTCAACTGAATTTATTTCCCATTACTTCATTAGCACTTAATTATTCTCTGAAGATTAGGATAAATTTACGGTATAGTGGAAACTCCTAAACATTCCATTATCTAGGACTGTCCTAGAAACAGGAAGATTTTATAAACAAGCCGCGCCATGACAAAACCAACATAATGGGTTTGCGACCAGCATGGATCCAGACCAGCATGCGCATCCGCGCAGACTGATCAGAATTCATGCTGTTCGCTTAAAAACCCTATAACAAGTATAGAAACTGACAGCGAACAGCATGGATCCTGATCAGACTGCGCGGATGCTGGTTGCAAACCCATTATGTTGGTTTTGTCATGGCGCGACTCAAATTTTCTAAATTCTTTTGTACTTCATACTGTAAGTACAAAATCACTGCTTCAAACCAATGAAAAAAATTAGGTAAGCCTATATAGATCTAAACAATGGAACAATTTAGGTGAGCTACTATATAAACAATGTAAACATTTACTTACACTTTATGGGTGTAAACATATATGAATTCTTCCTTTTTATTACAACTTCTTTTTCATCTTTAAAAAAAGTAAAACTTAATATAATATAATTATCACATTTCTGATAACAGATAAAAACAAACAAAAATACAGAAACTTTATTTCTATAAAATAAACACTGTTAATAATATTAAATATTCAACTATATTCATCTCAGTGTCTTTCTACCAGAAATTTACTAGAGCAAGGTATTGCTGACTGAGGAGAACAAAATATTTGTCAAAAACACACACACACAGTTTACAATATTCAATTTCATAAAGGACTTGTACATAAAAGATTTATTCAGAAGGACTTTTTTTAAATATAACCTATTTTCTGTTGATTATTAGTTTTAAATGACATAATTCATTTGTTATTTAATTTATTATTTCTTAGATTTCTTTAATTATACCAAAAATTCTGTATTGAGACCAAACACATTGAATTATTTGATATTGATATAAAACTTTACTCATTTCAAATAACCCTGAATTCCCCCTTAGGTATTTGCATACAGAGTTCTCTATACTACCTTTCTGTCACTATATTTTATAAACAGAACAACTATTTTTTGGCATTTTCCTACAGGCATATAACAATAAATAACATTGCTAAATAAATAACTAATAATGAAAACATACCAATTAAAAATCTGTGCAAATACTACAAATATTTTTTTAACATACAACATGTAAGTGGCAAATTGTTGTTGTTGGGTTTAACGTCGCACCAACACTATAGTGGTCATATGGCAACTTTCCACCTTTACTGGTGCAGCAAGACCTAAGGTGACCGACCCTCTGTGCGTAATTTCACGCACACACACACCTGAGTAAAACCACCGGCATTCCATAAGCTCAGCTGGATAGCTTCTTCATTAAAAAATCTTGAAGTTCGTCTGGGAATCGAATCCACAGCAGTGAGGGGCAAGTGGATTGAAGTCAATGACCTTAACTATTTGGCCATGGATGCCCTGATAAAAGTGGCAAGAAAATGCATTGTAAGATAAGAATATATGATTGCAGTAACACATTACCCTGCATAAATATAAAGTATGTGAATAAACATTTATAAGGTGAATCATATACCTAACATACATGTATATATAAATTTATATACAATGATAGACACAGTATTAATGTTAAAATACAACTATTAATTAAACAAGGACATCAATTAACCACATTACATCAAATTTATTTATACAGTAAATGAACTTAATAATTACTAAATAATTTTAAGACTAATTTTTGTCAGGTTTTAAGTTGCACCAACACTGTATAGATCATATGGCGACTCTCCTGCTTTTGGTACACTTCTGTACATTATTTCAGGCATAGAGAATCACCAATGTTCCATAAGATAGCTGGATAACTCCCTTACATGAAAGAATCTAAAGTACCTGTCAGAATTCAAATCCCACAGCGGTGAAGGGCAAGTGATTTGAAGTCAACTACCTTAACCACCTGACAAAATATCAATTGCCTTGGATGGAAAATTAGTTTTGAAGCAACATACCTTTAGCTTCTGACAATTAAGATTGTTTCAAATATATATGTCATTAATTTGTTCAATTGTACAAACATGTTGAGGCTGGCCTTACATAGTAACTATTCAAAGAACATATCCATACTTAATACAAATTTAAGAAACGGGGTTCATATGACATTAAAAATAAATATTCTTGCGTTAATTATACAAAAAAATGAGTCTCTTAAAACATATTAAAGTTGTTATATATCGTTTTTGAATTTGATATTTTTAAAAATTTGTTTAATCATCAAAAGGCAAGAAACTTTAAACAATATCAAATAACAATATTTTTTTTTTACATAAAGAAAATGATTATATACAGTTGACTCTCGGTAACTCGAAATCCAAGGGACTGGGCATTTTACTTCGAGAGAAACGGAATTCGAGTAATGTGGAACTACCGCCATTACGTTGACATTCGTACATGTATATACATGTGCCTGATTGAATGTGTAAAGAAGTAGGTTGTTATTGTTGTTAGCGGCAATGCTGCAATATTTGACCATTGAAATGACGGTAAATAACTTACAACTACAAATTATAGATGAACAAAAATATATCATTCAAAATTTAATACATGTACAATGTATATTAATAGTGAAACATAAACCCACAATTATATTTGATTTAATTGATTATCGGACGAAATTGAAATTAGCAACTATCGTGAACCGGAAGTACAAATTAATGTATGCAATATGACGGAACATTAATTATACAAATGTTATTTACGTTGATAACACACATCAATACCTAGGCTGTTATTTGACTAAGTAACCACCCGTCAGACTGGCACGAGTCAACTTTCTTAAAGCAATGTAATTAAATTTTAATTTAGTTATCTAACTGTTAAAACCAATTAAGTCCTGAAACGGATTAAAGCCACTTTTACGACGTGTTAATAATACATGATGACCGGCAATTAAAAATTACTATGAAACGTGTAAATCACGAGTGACAACATCTCACCTTGATGTCGCCGACCTTTGATCAGTCGGCTGTTTTCACACTTCGACTAATTGAGATGAACATATGTTGTACTTTAATTGACGGGACCAAATTTTCTTTTCGACTAAACAGGAGTCTCGGTAAGTCAAAATTTGACCTAAGCGGAGTTAAAATACAAAGATAAAGAAGGAAATTTGATGGGACTTTAGAAATTATTCGACTAAGGCGGAATTTCAAGTAAAGCGATTTTGACTTATTGAGAGTCAACTGTACTTGAAATGTAAAATAAAATCTATGTAACAAAATTGTGGAATAATGTCATCATAGCTCAACTACTTCTTAAATCGCTGACATTTGAAAATAGAACACAAATCTAAAAAGTATAGAGCCATAACTAGAAAAATATACACCATTAAAATTTTCACGTTTTTTTCTTCATATTCTAATGTTCACGTCTGGCAAAAAATAAATTAAAGTAAAAGACTTACGGTATATAAACAATTAAATAAAAAATTAATTACAAAATTTGATTACAAAATATTGTTCCCTAACAAACAATCAACTACTGTTTAACTAGTAAAAGTATAAGTTAAGATTTTCCAAATGCACTAACTACTTTAACTGAAACTTACATTTACATTATTCAGTCAATATATAGTGATATTGAACGAGCATAGTTTTAACACAGTATGTATTGAACAGGATTAATAATAATATGTTATTATTAACAAAATTACAGTCATACACCGTTCCCTCAAACTCGGAGGGCCCATACAAATTGCAGTTTGAAGTTTGTTTTTTAACAAGGACATTTCCACGAAGGTTATCAAGGTTATAATGATCTGATTTAAAATAGGTCTGCACACTTCTTTGAGGTGTCTATTTGTATAATGATATTTAAGGCAATGATTTTAATACAAAGTAGACTATAAAAATTATTTGAAAACTCCATATATTTGTATATATTATCATAATAAACAAATTTGTAGGTAAATAACACCTTTGGTTTAGTATCAATTAATTGACATTATCATAATGACTGTGTTAGAAACATATGAAGTCTACTGTCACCAATTGAAAACTTGTCATCCTGCAACTTTTGTTGTTTTTTTTTGTTTAAGGGACTAGAGATCAGGTTCGAGAGTTAGAGCAACCTGTGTTCAATCAATTTCCATGATTAAACAATATATATTGCATAGGGATTTTGACAGGACCAAACAATGAGTTCGAGCGAAGGAAGGTATTCAAGTGATCTGAGTTCGAGCGAACAAAGTTATAAGGTATACATGTATAAAAGCTGTATAAAACAGTCAGTGAAATGTTTGTATGCTATAAAAAAGTGTTTAAAAAAAAAATGATTTTGATCCTACAACTTTACTGTAGTACTGTACTGTGAGTACCTCAGTGTGAAGTGCTTCTTGTAAATATTTTAATAAAAACTATGTAGAAAAACAATGAGCCAGTGTAACACTGTGTATGACTAGGTAAATGTTTCTATCTATAGTCAATACTTCGTGAGACTTCCTGACCCATTTATCTCCGCTCATTCTTGGTGATCATGAGATTTTGGACCATGTTTAAATACACCATCAATATACTGTGAGAATATGCGATACATGTAGCCTGGTTTCCTTGGAAACATTCCCTCCAGAAATCCAATATGGCCGCCATGAGATGTTACTAAAAGCGCAATGTTGTCATTGATTTCTGCCTCGTTTACTGGAATTGCTGTAAGATAAAGAGCATGTCAAATGAATCTTACATTTGGTTTACTAAAACTTAGTTTAAACATACTGTATTTATGTAATAGATTTGCCTAGCTTTAAATCTGCTATACATGTCAGATAAGTCACTTGCTCCAAGATTATTTCATTTTCTTGCCTTTTAGGATGAAACTGGATTCTTAAGATGATATCTTTTTGCAGTTATGATTGAAGATGTTAATTTATACCCTATTGTAAGAAAATAGTTACAGACAAAATGATATCAATTTCTGTGAAAAATTTATTGTGGTTAAAGTGACATTATGCCAATCCACGATAAATAGTGAGTGAACAGGTGAAAGTCAAAATAAGACATAACATTTTGTCTTAATTCCTTTTGATTTTATAATTTATTTTGCATGAATGATAAATAAAAATCACATGGCTCAAGGAAATATCCATCAGAATTTATATTTTATCCTTAAAATTTTCCAATATCAACAGTTAATCAAAACCCAATATAAGAGTCAATCTTTTGAAATATAGAGTCAATTCAGCTCAACTTGACTATGAAAAATGAGCAAGTCATTTTTACCTTTCAATATAATGGTAGAATATGCAAGAAAAATAAAATATCTTGCATGTGTTTGCTGTTCAGATCAGAATATTTGACTGGAGTGTTCCTGCCCGTGGCTGGCAAATCAGCAAGCCTTGTTGTAGCATATTAGGTGGGTACCCTTTAGATGGATATTCCAATCCAAACCGCAAAATATGACAGATATTATTAATCAATTTCTGTTCAAGCATGTTAAAGGTTTATTTGTAATGCTTACCATGTTTAGGTGAAAATGGATCATCTTCAGCATTCAAACATAGTACTGGTACCTCGAGATGATGAACCTTGTCATGTATACAGGCATCCTTATAATATTCCTGCCATGTAGAGTAACCAAACATTGGCGCTGTGAACCTATCATCAAACTCTCTTATCGTTGTGCTCTGAAACACCAAAAAATAATTATGGACTGCTAGATTCTGTAATATTTTTGTACTGGGTCAGAATCTCCCTTCAACAAGGGAAGATATACAGTGTATTAACTAAATAGATAAAATCACACTTTAAGTGAATTGGTCTACAATGGTTACATTTTCCAGAAGTATTTTAAATATTGATCAAAACATTATAAATGTATCATTTGGATATTCTCAAAAAATATTTCTTGCAAAAAGAATGTTGTTAGAGGTTTAAAGAGATTTAGTATGAACACATTTAACAAATAAAACATGGCCTTGAGGGAAATATTCAAGTTTACTGACTGGTTGGTCAAATTGAGGAAGTTATATGGCCCGAAGCGTAGTCTGTTGGAAAGGCCATGTTTTATTTGTTACATTATACCGAATCTAAATCCTTTCATCCCTTTTGTTGCTGTCATTTTTACTATAATTTGCTTTCAAATAATAGTTTCATTTGTTCAGTGTGTAATTAAAAATTTCATGTTTTGACATTCTGACAATATCGTCTGTTTCTGTAGTTGTGAAATTCCCATGTCGTGAAAGTCGCGATTAAACAGTCTGTATGAGAATTATGGACTGGGAAGCCAGTCTGTATGCGATTTATGGACTGGATGACCTCATATTAAATATAGAAAGGTGTATGCAAATGAGGTATAATATTTTTGTTTAAAACTTCAAAATATCAAATGATGTTGTAGAAATGCTCATTTTCATAATAAAATGGGGGAAATATAATTATATGTTTGCATAGTTTTAAGATTAAGACTGGTTTAAGCTTGCTTAAAAATCCCCCTTCTTTGGTCCAAATCACCTGCTTTTTAAAACCAAATCTGGGTGGCTGGAAATATGGCATGTACAGTATGTTATATCATATATTTCTTTTGCAGTTTGTTTTCAAGTATGATACTAAATACTCTCAACAAAATTATTTATGGCATTACAGATCTTTAATTATTGACCAATTCACTTTCAAATAGCAGAGTAACATTTTGTTCAGAAACATTTAATTTAGTTTATGTACAATATTCCTGATTGTTAAATATCAGAGATGTTCCATGTTACAACTTTTTTGAAGTTGGACCATAAGATTATCGAAACATTATAATTTTACTGTTAATAAATTTTACAAAAATATTTCATAAGATATAGCTTTTAAACCCTTTTAACTTGAACCATTGTCTAAATAAGATAAAGTTTCAGAAACATAAATAGCAATATCATAAAGTTATATAACTATTATATAATAACTGCAACTTCTCTTTTTGTAAATCAGTTGGTACCCACAAACAAGAAAATCCTCCCTTGAGTTTATAGTTACGTTCCAAGATTGTGCATACAAAACAAGAAATAATGAACTTACTTTTAACACATGATCACAGTCATCAATGTGTTGCTCAAATAAATGCATGTATCTAAAATATAAATCAAACAGAAAATGTTAAAACTGCATAAAAATTACTATTAGTATTACAATATAATGCATTTTATTCTGTAAACTTAAAACTTCACAATGATGGTGTTAAATTATAAGACAGAAACATGTTAAAACAGCCTTCAGCATTTATTTTCTGTTTTAAAACCAATTCTGTGTTGTTCCCAAATAAGTACATTGTATTTAAGTAATTTTAACTTGGAAAAGTGCATCTTATCTCTGTTAAGTCTTCTTCAAAACAGCGTCCTTGAGTTACTTTTAACAAATTGTCCACTTGACTAATTTAAATATAAAGTGCGGACCGTTAGATTAGAGATATTGAGGGGTTTCCTTATTGATTATGTATTTTATAGTTGGCAAATTTCATTTTCTGCCTTTAATTTTTTTATCTGACTCTAATATGAAACAATTCATCTAAAAATAACATATGTAACCTTTAGAAAAGCTGTAGGCTTTTTCTGGTGCAAGGGGGTTCTTGATTAGTATTTTCAAATGATGTTTGATTATAACTCAAAATAACTTTATTTCAATTACACTATTCTACAACAGACTGTGCATTGTTTCTCACTTTGATTTCTCATGAACACATACAGTAAACTCCGCTTATAACGAACTCATTGGGACATTTGAAATCTGTTCCTTATATCCGGAGTTCCTTGTAAGCATATAGCAAATTTGTTCCTTGTATAAGGAGTTTTTATAGCGAACAGATTTGCATATAACGAACTGATTATTTACCATCGTCCTCCATTTTGAAAAGCATTTGTTTTAGAAAAATTTAAGTCACTCATGTCTTTTATAGACACAATACCCAAGAGCGTCCTTTTTTTTTAAATTTGAAAATCCTTTGTTATTTCAGTTTTAGTTTTACTCCCTTTCACAATTTCTCATAAAATACATTATTTTGTTTCTAAACTCAGTGCTTTTTGTTTTCTTTCCATGATTAAGAATAAACAAGATTTTCGATTTTTCTTCCTTTCATATTGAATATCTTCTATTATGTTTTAAGCGTGACTTTTACTTATAAAAGATATAGATATCTTTTCATTTCAATCAATTATACTTTGTGTGATTATGTTGAAAACCGATTATAAATGATTATAATCATTTTACTTCAGCAAAACTATTTAAGAAAAGAAATAATAGAATAAAAGGAATAACCGTTTTTTTTCTTGGTTACAAGAACTTAGTGCTAAAATATCCTAATAGAAAACTATTAAGTACTGCTATAAAAATTCATTTTTACAGCTGAATAGAAGTACATACAACAATAAACGGTACATCTGGCCGAGTTTTTATCTGTGCCATTATGAAAACGAAAGTTGAAAATGCGGGATCTTTTTACAGATAGCCGATATTTTAGAGTTCGTTATAAAGGTGTAATTTTCCGTACTTTTAACTAAATTGGGACTAAGAAATTAGTTCCTTATAACCATGTTCGTTGTAACCGTAAATTTTTATATTAAATAAAGAAGGGCAAAATTCGGGCCGAAAAAAATTGTTCATTATAACCGGAAGTTCGCTATAACCGTGTTCGCTATAAGTGAAGTTTACTGTATTGTTCATGTTAAAACCTATACCATTTTGTCTCACAACTTTAATATTGTATTTGGTATTTGACAAGGTACTGTGGTCCTTTATCAAATTTGATCATATCATGGCCCTGTGGTCAAGATTTGGGACAACCCAAGGTCATATGGTTTGATCAAAACAGTTTGTTTCTTCTATTTGTCACTATATTCCTCTTAAAGCAGAAAGCCTCCAGATTCACGCTAATTTTCATGAAAATTTTGAAAATGTATTATAAATTTAACTAGAACTATCACTAAATGTGATTAATACCCCCACAAGACTGCTTCAGAAATGAGGATGTTACAAGTAACAGAATACCTTGTAAAAGAATTGAAATATAGAGTTATGGTTGTGGGCAATTAAAGATAGTTGTGGTTCTTTTCCTTTCAATGTGGTTGGCCATTGATGAAGTTTTATTGAATTACTCTGTAGACAAGGAAAAGAAACAAAGGGCAATAACTCTATAAATACTGAAGATGGAGTTATAGTTCTTGTGCACTGCACTTCCTCTTATTGTGCTTGACCATTGTATGAAGTTGTTTTGAATTCCAACCAGTACGTTTTAAGTTATGCTCCGGACAAGGAAAAGTATCAAAGGGCAGTAACTCTGTATTTTGTCAAAATGGAGTTATGGCTCTTGTGCACTGCACTTCCTTTTTATGTCCTTGACAACTGTATGAAGTTGTATTGAATTTCAAACAGTAGTTTTCAAATTATGCTCTGGACAAGGGAAAGTAACAAAGGGCAATAACTCTGTAATAAGTCAAGATGGAGTTATGGTTCTTGTGCACTGCACTTCCTCTCAATGTGCTTGACCATTGTATGAAGTTATATTGAATTCCAACTATTAGTCTTCAAGTTATGCTCCGGACAAAAAAAGCAATGGAAAAGTAACAAAGGGCAATAACTCTGTAATTAGTCAAGATGGAGTTAAAGTTCTTGTGCAGTGCACTACCCCTTATTGTGCTTGACCATTGTATGAAGTTGTTTTGAATTCCAACCAGTAGTTTTCAAGTCATGCTCTGGACAAGGAAAAGTAACAAAGGGCAGTAACTCTGTAATAAGTCAAGATGGAGTTATGGTTCTTGTGTACTGCACTTCCTCTCAATGTGCTTGACCATTGTATTAAGTTATAATGAATTCCAACAATTAGTCTTCAAGTTATGGTCCGGACAAAAGAAAGCAATGGAAAAGTAACAAAGGGCAATAACTCTGTAATTACTTTAGATAGAGTTATGGTTCTTGTGCACTGCACTTCCCCTTATTGTGTTTGACAATTGTATGAAGTTGTTTTGAATTCCATCCAGTAGTTTTCAAGTTATGCCCCGGACAAGGAAAAAAAACAAAGGGCAATAACTCTATAATTAGTCAAGATAGAGTTATGGTTCTTGTGCACTGCACTTCCTCTCAATGTGCTTGACCATTGTATGTAGTTATATTGAATTCCAACCATTAGTCTTCAAGTTATGGTCTGGACAAAAGAAAGCGATGGAAAAGTAACAAAGGGCAATAACTCTGTAATTACTTTAGATAGAGTTATGGTTCTTGTGCACTGCACTTCCCCTTATTGTGTTTGACAATTGTATGAAGTTGTTTTGAATTCCAACCAGTAGGTTTCAAGTTATGCCCCGGACAAGGAAAAGTAACAAAGGGCAATAACTTTGTAATAAGTCAAGATAGAGTTATGGTTCTTGTGCACTGCACTTCCTCTCAATGTGCTTGACCATTGTGTGTAGTTATATTGAATTCCAATCATTAGTCTTCAAGTTATGCTCCAGACAAGGAAAATGCAACGGACGTCTGGACTGACCGACCGACCGACCGCCCGACCGACCGACCGACCGACCGACCGACCACCGGGTGACTCCTATATACCCCCCCAAACTTTGTTTTTGGGGGTATAAATATTGTCAAGTAGTTGCAAATGCAATAAAGGTCAAAATATGCTAAAAAAACCTTACTGCATTAGTCATGTCATAAAATATGTTGATAGATACTGTAAAAACAGTCATTCATTGCATATAACATTTAAATCATAAGTCTTATATATAAATTGAGCAGAGAAAGGGTGAAACAAAATCTTACTGTTGGAAATTATCCACCAGTCCTTTTGCTAGTATTCTATTGAGAACATGTTTATTTAATCCAGGTTTCTCCAGTGATGTTACAGATTCAAACACATTCCATGCCATAGATACACACATGCCAGCCAGCATCCCGCAATCCTTGCCAGACTTTGCCAGATAATTAAACAAGATCATCCTGAAATAAAAGCAATTAGTGTATAATTTGCTGTAAATAATAAGAAATCAAACTTTTCATCCCATAAAGTTTACATTCTTTGGTTCAAAAACATTTGCATTCAAACATTGTTAAGAGTATCCATTTGTATACATGTATCATGGTTGGCATGGCAACCAATTGACAGCTGACAACAAGTGACCACAATCACTCGTACTATAAATTTTGCTCTAGAATAAAACAAAACGGTTCTATTTCACCTATGTGAAAGTAAGTTGTTGGTGTTTTTTTTTTTTTAAGATTTCCTGAAAGTTGAAATAAATATCTTAAGTGTTATTTTATCTTGACTTATTTAAGAAATGATATATCCCAAACAGTGATTTCATCACTCAAAAAAATCACTGTTGAGGAATTATATCACAAGGGTGCATCTGAATGACAAACAGTGATTATATCAAGCGATAAAATCACCGATTTGGATAAATTATTCCGATTCTAACACGGAGTAACAAATAAATGCTGCTGTACCTGATATCAAGTTAAATTGCAAATTACAAATTTTCAGCGTGTCACATTTTAATAGCTACATCACATGTATAATGATTACGTCACATGTCTAAATATAGAACGTCAAACAGTGATTTTATATTAACATAATAATCCACACTTTCTGTTCTTCTATGTTCAATAGGGAAACATGCGGGTCGAGTTAGAATAAACAATTACAATATTGCTTCAAAGAATTTCAGTGACAATAATGGATTCTACCCTAAGAAGCTAATTTTTTGAGAGTACACCTTATATAGAAAACATTAATAGAACTGCACTAACCCTCCTAGGGATATCCCTGTCCCAACCAGTGGTGCATCAGGAAATCTTTGTCTGACATGTGACACAACATGACCTAGATCCTCACTGTTACATGCACAATATGTTCTAGCAGTCTGTAAATAGATATTGTGAACAACACTTAAAGGAAGATGTGCATGATATTTAAGATGTAATATTACAACAATAAGCCGTCCAAGAGTTTATAAAAAACTAGAAATGTGTCATCATGCCACGGATGCCCCCGCATGCAGCCAAAATTTCAGATGGTGCATTAATTATTTTTTTCATTTTAAGTTCAAAGCCCTTAAAACTTTTCAATGTTAACACAAACCATTTTCATTCAATGTTCAAGGCACTGAAATTATTCAGTCTTAACCTTTTAAAAATAGCATATTGCATATTTGTAGCCAAAATAATGGCTAAAAGTATGAGTGCTGAAACTCAAAGTTCAAAATTTTTCCAACATTCAGGAAAGATAAGTTTGTCTAAAATCATTGAACCACGACCAAATTCAAACTTAAACTGCTTATTCCTAAGATGTATCTATATTATTTTCAAAGTGAAAGGGACATAACTCTGCCAAAAAATCATCAAACCATGACCAAATTCCAACTTGACCTGCCCATTCCTTTGACATATCCATATGTCAAATTTAAGTTGAATATGTAACACTGTTGGGTAGATAATGAACAGAAACTGTAAATTTCATATTATTTTCAAAGTGAAAGGGACATTACTCTGCCAAAAATCATTGAACCATGACCAAATTCGAACTTGGCCCGGGCATTTCAAGAACATATCCATATGTCAAATTTGAGTTGAATGTGTTGTACCATTGGGGAGATAATAAATTGAAACTGAAAATTTCATATTACTTTCAAAGTAAAAGGGGCATAACTCTGCCAAAAATAATTGAACCATGACCAAATTTGAACTTGACTTGTGCATTCCTTTGACGCATCCATATGTCAAGTTTGAGTTGAATGTGTTGTACCTTTGGGGAGATAATGAACGGAAACTGAAAATTTCATATTGTTTTCAAAGTAAAGGGGCATAACTCTGCCAAAAATCATCAAACCATGACCAAATTCGAACTTGACCTGTATTTTCTCATGACATATCCATATTTCAAGTTTGAGTTGAATGTGCTGTACCATTGGGGAGATAATGAACGGAAACTGAATTTCATATTATTTTCAAAGTAGAAGGGGCATAACTCTGCCAAAAATCATCGAACCATGACCAAATTCGAACTTGACCTGCATTTTCTCATGACATATCCATATGTCAAATTTGAGTTGAATGTGTGCAACCGTTCTTAAGATAATGAACGGAAACTGATGATGACGGAATGACAGAATGACAGAATGACGAAGGACGGAAGGACGGAACAGGGTAACACTATATGCCCCGGCCATTACATGGTGTGGGCATAATAAAACCAATATTGCCAGTGTTGCATCTAGAATTTCGAAATTATGGGGGATTGTCCGAAAAATGTGGGGGATTTGAAAACAAATGTAGGGAACATGCATTTACCTAACAATGTAACATTCTGAAAAGAATTCTAGGCATTTTTGACAGCTATCGTCCGCTCAACAACCGAAATAGAAAAAATAAAATATTGACGAAACCTAGTAAAGTGCGCAGATCAAACCATCAATTTATACACGCGAGATGACCCGGTCAGCTGCTACACATGATTTAGTGCGTTTTTTAGTCATTACCGCGAGTGAAAACAAACATAGCAGAAGCGTTCAAGATACGATGAAAATTAACTAAATTAAGTTGAAAAGATCGTCAGATGCGAGACTTTGCGCACATTGACTTCATTAAAATGTGCGATCTGCAAAAATATGCGCAAATCACGCGGCCTAGATGCAACACTGTATTGCTCTATTAATTTATCACAAAAGTTAACATGTCATACAAATAATCTACTCTTTATATTAATCCTTGTGAAGTTTAAACAAAAGAAAAAAGCAGAATAATCAGATTTTGCAAACAAATGTAAAATCCATTTTTCAGACCAAAAGAATTACAATTTGCTAGATAAGGTTTATATTCTGCTATCACTGTCCTGTTCTATTCAGGCAAAGTTCTATGGATTCTCTTTAAACAGAACTTTTTTACAGTTTTGTGATGTTCTTTTGTTGATATGCACCTATATACTGTTCAAACCTAACACTTCCATGACTACTCTTTCTTATCACTAACTTCAGCAGGGAGAAATAGATATATGCCGTTATTTGTACTCACAAGTAGTTTAGATCCATTCCCTCTGTTATTGAAGACCACAACTCTGAAATATATACATACATATATGTACTACTTATAATATTATACACACATTTTACATGTCAAAGGGGGTTAAATTTACATCTTGATTGTCAATCACAACTTTACAGCCCTTTCACTTAGTCTTTGGATAAGGACCTCAAACACAATACAATGTAGTATCAATACACAGAATGGATGCGATATTTCGGTCCAACCTATGCTAAGAAACTAAACATATAAACAAATAGTAATTTCATGCTGGGAGTTGTTGACAACTTTTTTTTCCAATATAACCTTAAATAAACAAATTCATAGATACAAAAGCAAACTATACATTATATATATATTAACTATTGTGGTTGTAGAAACCGAAAGTACAAAATGCCAACCTGTTGATATCATATATTGGATTGTTTAATATTGTACATCAGTGGGCATATTTCAATCAAAAATGGTTGTTAGACATATTTTCAATCATAATTGTACTGAAACAGACTTTATCTTTGTTTGGATGTCAAATATATACATTCGTTTTACATTATCAAAGATTACACTCTCTGTTTCTGTTTACATCTGAAACCATGTGGTAGAACTACTTTCAATCCGTATTAACTTTGAGATTATTATTGATAATAGCCGAGGATGTTGTGATTGCTTGATTGTTTCAAAACTTACAAAGGGGCATAATATAGACAAACTATAAACCAGAGTTTTGTAACTTGATTATTATGTGCATTTTACAAATCCTGAAGCTATGATTTTACTTGTGAGTTATTGTGACACTATTTTCTAAGAACTAAATTCTCTGAGACTATTAGTGCCTGACAACAGAAGAAATTCCGTATGTCTCATTTCAGCAATATCCCTGTAGATAACTTCTAAGACAGATCAAACAAGCTAATAGATATTATCAAAGTATCAATGTCTGTTAGTGCATAGTTGTTGTCACACTGATCCCTTGTGATACATAGACTTGTACATGTAATGCCAATAATTTTGACTGGCAAAATTTTGATATCTTACTGTTTATAATTTTACAACCCTATTCCGGCATTTTAAAGTTGTATACATGTAATTATCTTGGGCTGTAAAAACATGATATATGTTCATTGATTATTCAAGCAATATCAATATTAACACTTTACCTGAAAACTAGCCTTTGTCATAAGTATAGAACTACGCCAGTCTGCACATCTATGGACAGGCCCTGAACTATTGGTGCAAATGTAGCTGAATTTTTATATTTTTATATTTAAATTCGTTAAATTTTGATTGGTCTGTTCTAAATTCAAAGCTCTGCAGATTCATTACACTTATTTAAAAGTTTAACTGACTTGATAACTAACCAGAAGTTATCAAAATTCTTTACAAGTGATAGACTACTAATCCCACCTGAGGCAAATAACTAGTAGACTCTATGTCAGATATCATCAGAGAGAAATTTGACCTCACCCGATGCTCATACCACAGCAACTCCTAGATTACTGATTTGGTGCTCTCCCTATGTGAGCTAAGCTGGTGTACTATACTTACCTATATCCCAACTGGGTAGCTTCAGTGACAAAATTTAGAACATAGGTCTCTTGACTGGTACCTGTATAACAATAAATGTGTAATTACTGCAAAATCATTATTATTCATAGTGAACTAACTTTCGAGGTTTTTGTGGATAGGTCATTCAACGAATCTAAGATCACACGAAATTTCATTTCGTCTGCTGTAAGATTATTTTGCATGACATTATTTACATTTTACCGTTCGGAAAAATAAACAGTCGACGAATTTAAGAACCCACAAAAATGTTCTCTGTGACAAAACCACCGAATTTCATGCCCACTTAATATAGTGAATTCACAGTACATAATTTTTAATCGTTTAGGTCATTTGTTAGATTCTCCAACACTACTGGTGGTAGAAAAACTTAGATTCCCAAACATTTATTACTGCAGACAAAAGAAGACATCTAAAAAGTACCACAACAATTCACTAAGGTAACTAAATAGCTTCATGATAAAATGTAAACCACCCTTGTACATTTTTTTGAAACCCATAATTCAAGCTGTTTTAGTAGAAATTTGCATTTTAATCAATTTGCTACAGGCGTCCCTAAAACAGATGACAAGGGAAGTAAATCTTACATACCTGTAAGTCCAGGTAAAAGCACCACAGTTGGTCTCGACTCCGGATCTGGATGTATTGTACTTTCATTATTATAAGCCCAGTCCAACCGAACCTGACCACCATCTGGCATACTTAGCATCTCACTAAAAAATGGAAACAATATCTGTTTACACGGTAGAATTGACTATCTTAGGAACCAAGGCACTTCCTTTACACCTGGACAGTACTAGAGTGTGGATAACTCTGCCAAAGGTGATCAAAATAATTCAATTTTATTTGTTGAGTTTTAAGACACAGCAATACTGTAAAAATTTATATGGTGACTTTCAAAATTTTCTGTCTGAAGAAGACCTAAGCTAGCTAGGTGCCTCTTCGTGCATGAGTGGGCAATACAATTCACAAGCCTAAGCTTGACAGCTGTCATGTATGAAAGAATCTGAAGTCCCTAGAAACCCACAGCAGTATGGGATGAATGATCTGAAGTCAGCTACCTTTAATACTGATAAAATTAAACTTTTTTTCAGAAAAACAGCAGTTTTCTTATAGTATAACTGCTTTTGATACTATTCATCCTAGATACCATTTTGATTCAATACTGATAAATAAAGGGGAAAAATCATGACTGGCAGTCAGTTGTACTAATATGTAAGAGTTATCTCTCCTCTTAATAACACATTGGTAAACTTTTTATGTACTGGCAATTACTGTAAAACTTTCATAGTACTGGTCCCAAGTTATGTAGTGAACTATCATATTACTATAATGTAGGATATATTGTAACCTTAGTGCAGTGAAGGAATAAGTCCTTCTTAGTATATGTTAGTGTTCATCCGTGCTGTTCTACAGAAATTAGAAACTTTGACGGGAGCGATAGCGAGAGGAGAATGTTTCTAATTTCTATAGAACAGCACGGATGAATACTAACATATTTAGTGTCAAGCTTTATTTGGCCACATTATCATTCACTTTATTACGTCACTATGCGGTTCTATGAAGTACTATGAAAAATAGAAGTCGACTATGGACGGAATTCGATATAGTATCGACTTTTGTTCTTCTATGAAAATTAACGCACAGAAATAGAGCGTTTTCATTGAATGACAAATAAAGTTGGACACTAAATTCAATAAGAGTTAATCAGTTATTGCACTAAAGTGACAAATTATTATTATTATACTGATGTTTTTCCACCAATTGGGTTATTGGGAGTCAGAGTTTAAAGCTATTATTGGCTTTATTTATTTTTCTTTATAAATGACATTTTCTGGATGAAAACGTACACATGTACATGTATAAAGGTGGAAATATTGACGATTTTTTTAATTTGACTTGGAATTTTGCAAGTTTGGAAAAAGACCTATATTCAGCCTCTAAGATACGGAAAAAAAGAAAGAAGCCATAGTGCATATTGACACAATATTCACCTCTAGACTGTCTGATAGAATGTTACATCAATTTTTTTCCCCTATCGATACTGCCAGTTGATCTGTTCTATAGGCAAATTCTTATAAATTATCTATTAGTTTTCCCACTGGGAATCAGCTGGTTAATGAATTATGTTTGCGATCAATGCCAGCAAACAATATAATACTCACTAAAAGTTTAACTTTGGCAACTGACTATGTAACAACAACAACAAGAGTTGCTTGTAAAACATATAATGAAAATGTATATAGTTATGTTTACTGTAATTATATTTGCCAAGTCATCGGGATAGCTTGCGGCCAGGACCAAAGGATGGTGTTTTATATTATATCAGAATTGGTTCTTTTTGTTCATCTTTTTTTTCGAATATGAAGATTGACTTGTCTTGACACTAATTTTATATAATGAACATGAACCTAATGTTCTTTCAATAAATTGGAGGGATTTTAGAATAAACGAATCAAGTAACAATAGTCTTGTTTGACTACATAAGTGTAGTTGACAGTACCAACTAGTGCACCAGTCTGTCAAGTGTTACCTTGGTTCCCCACAACCCCAATTAATTCAAAGCAGGTTGGGTTCATTATAAATTCAAAGCTGTACAAGAGTTTACCTTAAAAACATCAAGAATTTAAGAGTGTGTGATTGATAACATATAAGTCTTCGCAGCTGGATACATGTACATATAACTATTATAAGGTTTAATGATTGACTTTCATGTCTATAGTGTACTTACTTAAGGTCAACAAAATCATGATCTTGATGTACTAGTTTAAGGACAATGGTGATTTCAAGTGCACTGAATCATAGTAAACTTTTAATTAATCAACCAGCTATTGATAATTGTCATAACAAATTTTTCAAATCACCTTAATATTTGGATAAAAAAATCAAGGGGTCTTAAATGTAATGCATATCCAAGTTAGCTGTAATCCTGACTCCCTATCCAGTAACTCTGTAGAATAGTGGGGACTTTGACTTATTGATTGTCAAACTCAAGTCTTACTAATTAAAGACACTGCCCTGTTGGGAAAGTCAATAGGTAAAATCCTCACAAAGTAACACTGCCCAGTGCAAGTTGAAAATAACCCCTGTTAAAACAAATGATCACTCTGACATGGCAAAGTCAAGGCGGACTAAAAGTAAAAACTTGTCTTACTTACACTGCAATCTCCAAGTTTTGGGTGAGAGGATGGGGTTACAAATCAAAACACACAGGATTTTTTTACTAAAAACAAAACTTACGAATCATAGTGAACTGTAGGCGCCTTTTCTATAAATGACCTAATGATAGTCATAGCACGACTTTCTAAACACCATATTGTTGGCCAAAACTTCTCATGCACTATAGGAACTTTGTCTGTTAAAAACTTGTGGAATTTTTTATCAGAACATGCTAGCTGAGGTTTCTGAAAAATTCAAACATTGTGAAAATATTATTTAATAATAACAAAAATGAAAAACATAAATATATATAGATTAATATAATATATTGTCTGATTTTAAAGACCTTTCAAGTGTGCATACATGTACATTCTAGAGCGCATTTAAATATACATGTATGATTAAACATTGGTTATAATTTTATATCAATTTACTTTTATTAGCAGAGTTATATATTATCATTATGCCATCACTAACTTATTTATTCAACTTGAAACTCACAAAAATATCACTGCACCATATAAATGATAATATAGTAAATATATAAATATATATCAATGCAATAACTTCTTTTATTCATTTAAACAAAGATTTTTTTCTGTTATGGATATAATGCCAAAAACCTAACAAAGATTATGTGTTCACAAACAGTATAACCAATTTATATTAATAAATCAAACAATACATGTACTACTAAGGATAATCATACTGATCATATACCTATATTAAATGTTGTTCAAATTTTATCATTTATTATCATAATTATATGACATGACGTGATACCAAATCACAAACACTGCATGAAGTAAACAAGTATTACATGTAAGATCTATACAGAACAAAAATAAATGTTTACTATACCAACTTAACCCTGACCACACTAAAATATCTTAAATGGACATCTTCCAATCCGGACAAAAAAGGGAAAATTTTAAAATGAGAACTGACTGAATAGCAAACAGTGCATAATTTATGATCAAAAGCATAAATTAGTCTGCACTGGTTGCATGGGTATATTCAATAGCAGCCACTGTAGGCTTAGGTATTTCAAGATTTCTCTTTTGTTCACAGACACTTGGGGTGTTGAGCTAAATAAAACGCCTTTAAAATCCAAATAAAATGTATATTTGTCAATCCCAGCACATTTACTGATCATATATATCAAAAAAACTTAATATAAGCCGTTTTGAAAAAATTTCATATTTCATATTTCAACGTCTATAATATAGAGAATAATAGGTTGGTGCCTTGGATGGAGAAAGTTTATCTGGCGAGGCGGAGGAATTTATTGGGTTATCCTGTCACCGTTTTTTTTAAAGAATTTTATTAGGCAAACTACCTTTAATCACACTATCGGAAATGTTTCTATATAAACAAAGAAGGCCCGAAGCGTGCATTATTCTACAACAATGCACTCGCCGTTCTTATTATCTCCCTGTGTATTTTCACATTGAGGGCGCCATTTTGTTTGAAAAATGTGACAAGTAAAAACAATTTTTTGTCGAATTTTGTTGTGAAAACTATCTAGAATGAAAGAAAATGGTCTAACTAAGAAAATGAATTCGAACACCAATATCTTTTATTCAGTTGTTAACGCTGCACAGACGTTTAAAGTATTGTTTACGTGACGTCACAATGTAGCGCCAAACAGCACGTGCAAAACAATCAAATCTCAAGTACGCTATTTTAATGTCGTAAACGAGTAAAGTTTTACATTTATTTCACTTTTAATAATTTTTATTTCGCTTGAAAAATTATAGAGTGAAATAAAATAAACAAACAAAGTTTTATCAATGTTTCCGAAATTCGCTATTCTATACACAGAAGATTTAACGACAGTTTTTATATTTTTTCTTGAAAAGTAGTCTGGCAAACATGCATACCACGTGATCAAGTGCCGTAGATCAGTAAAAATATACGGCACCTTGTTATCGGGCCGAAAATGATACACAAGTGACAGGATAAAATACATTATATAGACGTTGAAATATGAAATTTTTTCAAAACGGCTTATATTAAGTTTTTTTGATATATATAACATGTACATGTGCTGGGATTGACAAATATACATTTTATTTGGATTTTAAAGGCGTTTTAAGCTCCACACCCCAAGTGCCTGTGCTTTAATTTAGCCTTACTTTCATAGCATTTCTAAGCATAAGTCTAATTAAAAATCAGGATAGAGCAAAATTAATAAATTCTTATATAGAAATAGTATTAATTACTTTCAAAGTAAAGATTTAAATTTGGAATGCTGTTTTATTTCAGCAAAAATATTTCAAATTGCCTTTTTTCATCTCTAAGGGTTTTTTCTCAGGATTTTGGGAACATGACCCATTCCCATGGAATTGGGAATTTCAGCAATGTTTTGTTAAAAATTGGGAAAAATGCATTACTTAAATTTTGCAGTGATTAAATGAATGCAATATCTAGCCTAGCATTCTTCTAATATTTAAACACCATAACAGTGAAGATGCCCTTTGTTTTAAAGATCTTAGAATTTGATGTTAAATATTTTTATTTTGTTATACTTTAAATTGGGAATTTTTTTCTGTGATTTGGAAAAAAATATACTGTTTTCAATTGGGAATATGACCTAATATCGGCTATAAAATAAATAAAGAAATCCCCGATTCCTCAAGATATTCAGACTTTCAGATTTATAGTGTATAAATCCACATGTATATCTGAGGGAACATATATAATTTCTTGAAAAATTTGAAAACAATAACCTAATGGTCTTTTCTTGAAAACTTTGTTACAAAGAATGTTTATAGATGTAATCTAATATAATGTAGGCACATGAATATTGTAAGTAAATAGAATAACATGTTCCAGAACAAAACATTCTGCAGCTATTTTAGTAGATTTTACAATGATTTTCATGCATGTCCCCATTCACTTTCAATAAGATAAGGTGAAAAATTTCTTCGACTTAGGTATTCTATATTCACATAAAAATTTAATTACAAATAAAATGTTACATTTCCACAAACAGCAACTCTATTTATACACTTGATAGAGTGATGGTTCTAGGTCACTGCACTTCTACAGTAAGTCATCTACCTATATTTTAAGATTCAAGTCAGTCACTTACATGTATGTATTCTTCAACTTATACTCCAGGAAAAAAATAATTTAATAAAATAATTACAAAACTGGAATATATGGAGCTACATATACAATTCTTAGTCTGCATACACTTGTTCTAGTTGCCACTTATTCATATTTCAAGTTTAAAGTCAATACCGCGGATAGTACTCAAGGTATACTCTTGTGAAAAAATAATAATAAAGGAAAATAATTAAAAAATGGAACCAAGCAGAGTTAATGTTCTTGGTTGCTGCATTTCCAAATTTGATCTGTCTTGTGTCAAGTCAATCACTTGTGTGGTTTTGGAGTTCAGCTTTCTAAAATAAATCTAGTATCTATTTTCATCTTGACCAAAAAAATGAAAGGAAAAATGTATAGCACTAACAAATTTCAATACATTGTGTATTTCAGGGAAATAAATGCATGGTTGAATGGTAGTTTTTTGTTAGTCACTGCCCTTAAATTGGTTTCTTAAGCACAAGTTAACTGTAAAGCTCCATTCAAGAAACAAGTTTTTAACTTTTGTATTTCCCTGCCTTTTATCCTGCACTGCTTGTTGAATACTATTTTGTAGGGTTCTGCAGCTAAAAGAAGGTGATAATTCCAACTTACAGTTGCAGTGATGGCATTTAAGAATCATACCTCCTGATTCATGCTAAATTAATTTTTCATGAAAATTTGGAAGTGAAGAAAGAAAGTTACATAATGAAAACAGCACTTACAATTCATGAAATTTACCAGAAAGAGGTTAAAATATGCAAAATATCCCTAAATGTGTTTAAGTCACACTGTATAAATATAGTATACAGTTATTTCATGTGTGATTTGGGAACAGTCAAACAGTTGTCCCTCGGTGTCGGGGATAGTGTTTTGAACTGTTGCCCTCGGCCTACGGCCTACGGCCTCGGTGTCGGGGATAGTGTTTTGAACTGTTGCCCTCGGCCTACGGCCTTGGGCAACAGTTCAAAACACTACCCCCTCCACCTTGGGCCAACAGTTTGACTGTTCCCAAATCACGCATGAAATAACTGTTTTATTACCTAATCAACTACTGTTTTAACAGTATTTGCAGAAGGAAAAAGGAACAAGAAAATAGTTTTGCACATATGTTAATAATTAAACTTAATATTTTAACTATGTCACGTCACGTCTGGTTCATGATCAAGATCGATGGACGCTTCAAGTGGGAATCCTCTATGACATCAATGACGTCAGCGCACGCGAGGGAAACAGTTGAAACTATTGACCCGTCAACAGTTCCCGAACGTTGACGTTTTTAGAATTTCAGAAAACAGTAAACAATAACAAATTACATTTATATGAGGTATCAGGTAATAATGATAAATATTGCAAAATCAGTCATTAATCGCACACAACGTGTAAATTACTATTTGAAATTTAAGTCTTTTTACTTTTCTTAAAATGTAAGTACATTTTTCTCAAGTTTTATCACAGGAACTTGAAATTCTATCACTATTAACGATAATATGCAAAATATACCCCTTATTTTATAGTATATAGGGGGTATATTTTGCATATTATCGTTAATAGTGATAGAATTTCAAGTTCCTGTGGTTTTATTTTCTTTAAATATTTTGGCTCATCTGGAGGTGTGCAGCTTTAAAGGGACTCCAATAAGGGTTTTTGACATGACAGGACTGAAAATAATTTTTCAAGATTATTGTTCTATTTGATGTAGGTCTTGACCAATAAATTGTGTGCAAAATTTCAGATCATTTGCTCAATCTTTTAAACAATAATTATTCTAATTGTGAAAAATGACCCAAAGCTAAAATGAAATCTGGCAAAGTCAAAGAATAGCACAAAAATACAATTTTCAATTATATTATGCATACTGTACTGGTCGGGAACCATCAACCGGACACTTTTTGAACATTTTTCCGTACAGATTTCATAATTTTTAACATAGAGACCTAAAAATTTGACACAGTTCAGCTAGGTTCTTCCCCTAACTTACAAACTAGTTTGTTTATTTCTGAATGTATTGACACTTATATCTGAGGCCCGACAAGGAGGGTATCAAAATTACCTAAATTTGTCTACACTACAGTACCATGTGTCGGACAGATATGTACATGACGTGATTTAATTCAGATAAAAGCTTGGGCTGTTTTTGATTTTTGATTTTTAACATGATATACAATATGTCAGCAACAAATGCTGAAGTTTTGGATATTCTATTGTTTACTCTGCAAATGATTATAAGCTGGTATATGGAGGTCAGGCATTGCTTTCCTGGCCCCCAAATTTCAACGACAACATTCTTGAAATAGACATTAAAATATTACCAGTTACGGAGGTTGAATAAATATATTTATTTAATTATAGAAGAAACATGCATTTATTGTTGGTAAAAAAGTGACTGACATCCACTGAACAAAGAAAATACAAAATTAAGCATTTTCTGGGCCGTCCGGGTTTGATGGTTGTCCGGTTTTGGTGGTCTCCAACCAGTATATTTCTGTTTTTAATAACCTCATTAAGAAATTCGATATTTATTGTTTAACTTTTGGACCTCTAACACAGTGGGGTTAGTGTTTAAACTGTTAAACACCATCTGACCAAAGAAATCAAATATTTGATGAAAAGGGGCAGAAAGTTGAAATGTATGAAAAAATTATGACAAGTTTAATTGACTCTCGATATGGACCACTTAAAAAGCCCTGCCCCAGTCAGTTGGGCTACTGTACATAGACCTGTGTACAGACTACAGGGTTCTGGCGCATGCACACAACGTGATACGTACTTAAGTTGTTTTATTTTTTTAAGTAAAAAGTTGTTTTAAAAGTAAATTACCTTGACAACATATAAGAAATAGTAAAGAATATATCCTATTAAAGATAATAAAACTATAAATGTACACGGATACGCATAAATATATTCCATAAATGTGTTAATCATTTCCATGATGGAATTTTGACAGCCGCAGTAAACCGGCTTATCGTTATAGTTTATGGCCTTTCGGAGCAGACAGTCTATTTATATAAGAAGGTAGGGCTTTTAAAAATTGTTAAGTAAAAAAGGTAATTTTTCAATTGAAGTCTTTGGAAACTTTACGAATATGATAAAGTGATTATTTCTATGTTTTGTATCAGTTGAAATGCTTGAATTGATACCTGTGTTGCAGTTGTAAACACCTGTTAAATTCTGCACACCTTGACATTAATGGAATATTCCAAGCATTTTTGGTAATCACTGAAAATGGCAATCTTCCGCGGAAAATGGCACTTTTCCACGGAAAGATTTTCTTAACGAAATGTCTTTCGACTTTGCTTATAAATATGAAAAATAACTTTAAATAATATTCTGTTTTAACCACGGATTATATTATGTAATGTAAATCCGTGAAGAAACTTAACATCAATATAACAAATATATCTTCAAAAACATAATTTGTTGCTTATGAAAAATTTGGTGAAGTGTACGTTTTCTAATAGCTATCTCTTCACTTTTTTGTCAGATTTCAAATAATTCAAATTTATCATTAGTCAGGTGGTGATTTAAAATTGACTGATTACAGTAGTGGACAAAATTTCAACAAAATTATACATGAGTTATTATATTGCTTAAATAATGTATATTTTGGTTGAAATTTTGTCCACCAATCAGTCAATTTTAAATCACCACCTTTAAATTAAAACAGAAATATAAAGCTCCTCGAATAATGTGAGTGTTTGAACAAAAAAAATAGATCTAGTATGGTAGTTAAACTTTCTTTATCTGTTTCTGGAGTATCTACTATAAGATCAAAATAATACATTAATTATAATCATTTTAAATATTTTCTGTTTCTATATTATCAGGATAAATTAGTTACAACGTCCTATAACTCTTAGATTTGTATAAAAAAAATCACGTGTTCACAACTTCATTTCATTTCATCTGCGGATGTTTCAAAATTCTAAATTGTACCAGTTCATGTTAAATGTTGAATTCTGCTTAAGTCGGTGCTAGGGGGCGTGGACGGTAGTTTGCACTTTGACAGTACCGTCCATGAACAGGCTCAATCAAACCGAGCCTGCAACATTTTCAATTTTGCCGTGTTGGGCTTTCTTTAGGGATTCTTATTTTCTCTATTTTATCGCCACATCAGCGTTGTTTGTGCCGTGTGGAGGCTGTAAAAAGTCGCCCCGTACATTCAATCAGAGATGTTATATTTCCGATCCTTAAAGATCGTTCAGCACGACATTATTGGTGTGCTTGTTGTATTTTAGTTCTTTCAATTTGGCTATTTTTCGTGTTGGGTGGTTCCAGTATTCCTCACTTGAATACTGTTGAATCACCCTTAGGATATGTGGCCTGCTTTTAAATTTGTCTTTTGACGTCTTATCTGTGATATGCAGGCTTCATAACCTCTGATCCCCATTCAAAATTCCATTTTATTTAGTTTCGCCCATTGTTTTCTCGTTTAGGGCACACGCATTTTTTTACTTGGGGACCATATGCCGCTTTTCATGGAATGGCACGATAACCGCCATATGAACACACCTGCGGATGTTTCAAAATTCTAAATTGTACCAGTTCATGGTAAATGTTGAATTCTGCTTAAGCCGGTGCTAGGGGCGTGGACGGTAGTTTGCACTTTGACAGTACCGTCCATGAACAGGCTCAATCAAACCGAGCCTGCAACATTTTCAATTTTGCCGTGTTGGGCTTTCTTTAGGGATTCTTATTTTCTCTATTTTATCGCCACATCAGCGTTGTTTGTGCCGTGTGGAGGCTGTAAAAAGTCGCCCCGTAAGTTTGCAGACAAGTTAAAATAAGAAGGATTTTGCAGACAAGTTACTTATAGAACAGAATAAAAATTAATAGGGGAATATTAGAAAAATCTGTATTTTGCAGCCAGAATTAATGTTGAATTTTGCAGACAAGTTAAAATAAGAAGGATTTTGCAGACAAGTTAACTATAGAACAGAATATAAAATGAAAAAAGGAATATTAGAAAAATCTGTATTTCGCAGACAGAAAAAAATGTTGAATTTTGCAGACAAGTTAAAATAAAAAGGATTTTGCAGACAAGTTAGATATAGAACAAAATATAAAATGATAGGATAACATAAGGAAAAACTGTATTTCGCAGACAGAATTAATGTTGAATTTTGCAGACAAGTTAAAATAAGAAGGATTTTGCAGACGAGTTAGATATAGAACAGAATAAAAAATGATGGGGGGACATAAGGAAGACAAGTTAACTATAGAACAGAATATAAAATGAAAAAAGGAATATTAGAAAAATCTGTATTTCACAGACAGAAAAAAATGTTGAATTTTGCAGACAAGTTAAAATAAGAAGGATTTTGCAGACAAGTTAAATATAGAACAGAATATAAAATGAAAAAATGAATATTAGAAAAATCTGTATTTCGCAGACAGAAAAAATGTTGAATTTTGCAGACAAGTTAAAATAAGAAGGATTTTGCAGACAAGTTAGATATAGAACAGAATAAAAAATGATGGGGGGACATAAGGAAAATCTGTATTTTGCAGACAGAAATAAAGTTGAAGTTTGCAGACAAGTAAGAAGGATTTTGCAGACAAGTTAGATATAGAACAGAATAAAAAATGATGGGGGAACATAAGGAAAATCTGTATTTCGCAGACAGAAATAAAGTTGAAGTTTGCAGACAAGTTAAAATAAGAAGGATTTTGCAGACAAGTTAGATATAGAACAGAATAAAAAATGATGGGGGAACATAAGGAAAATCTGTATTTCGCAGACAGAAATAAAGTTGAAGTTTGCAGACAAGTTAAAATAAGAAGGATTTTGCAGACAAGTTACTTATAGAACAGAATAAAAATTAATAGGGGAATATTAGAAAAATCTGTATTTTGCAGCCAGAATTAATGTTGAATTTTGCAGACAAGTTAAAATAAGAAGGATTTTGCAGACAAGTTAACTATAGAACAGAATATAAAATGAAAAAAGGAATATTAGAAAAATCTGTATTTCGCAGACAGAAAAAAATGTTGAATTTTGCAGACAAGTTAAAATAAGAAGAATTTTGCAGACAAGTTAAATATAGAACAAAATATAAATTTATATTTTGTTCTATATCTAACTTGTTTGCAAAATTCAATCTTAATTCTCCTTGCAAAATACAGATTTTCCTAATAGTCAACTGTTCTGAATTTAATTTGTCTGCAAAATTCAACATAAATTCTGTCTGCAAAATATAGATTTTCCTTATTTTCACCTATGATTTTATATTTTGTTCTTAAGTTAACTTGTCCGCAAAATCCTTCTTAGTTTAACTTGTCTGCAAAATTCAACCTCTAGTCTGTCTACAGTATACTTTATGTATTAACTTAAAAAAGTTAATTAATATTGTTTGTTTGTTATAATCATTATATTCTGTTTCATACAATATTGAATAACTTAGTGTTTTTTAATTATATTCATATATTTTTTTTATAAAAGCATAAATTTAAAAAAAAAACAAATTAAAACTATTTTTTAAATAATAAATAGAGTTTTGCAAATAATTATAGATCTTTCTAGATGGCATTAAATCAATAGAATTGCCCATTCACACCTTTTGACAAGGGATTAAACACCCCCTATATAATCTATATTGTCTGCAAAATCTAACTTCCTTCTTTATTTAACTTGTCTGAAAAATCCCTCTATGCAAAGTCGTCAACCCATTTTTTCACTTAAAATTATTTTCGCGAAAACCTTTCCTTTCTTGTATTAAGTTCATTTCCTACACTATCCAAAATGGCGACGGGTGCACTTTTCGGTAATGCGAGCGGCCGCTCTCAAAGTAAAAATCTGGTTGAATTTCGTGCTGGCAAGATGTACATGAAGGGCAAAATGGTCCACCCTGATAAAAGAAAGGGTTTGGTATATGTGTATCAGTCAGACGACTCGTTAATGCATTTTTGTTGGAAAGATCGGACAAGCGGAAGTATCGAAGACGTAAGAATTTTTTGCACTGTCATTAATTATCGCCGTTCCTTTCACTTATTTCCATGCAAATATAACATTTTATATAATAAATAATTATTTATGTATCAGGAAAATCGTAGTGATATCCTTTAATTGTCCTATTTTTAATCTATGCTACAGTAATTTCACTAATTTGTACATGTTACCCAGTCTGATACTGTACCCCACCCGTTATGGACTCGGCCTCGAGTCATTTCGACACATTACAAAATGAACGTACACGTAAACTTGGACATAATCGTACACATCAACTTGACCTATCTTTTTATGAAAATCCTATGAATAGAGAAGTAAGATAAAAATGTTTTGCTATTTTTTTTTTATAAATTTGACAATTTGAAGGGCCAGCTCACAAAGCAAGCTTAACACTAACAGTAATGCGAGTGCCTGCTAGATACTGATGGCTTTGAAAACTTTTGTTGGAAATGGGAAATTGACACATGGCAACTTTTTAAATTACATAGAGGATATTTGTTTAGTTCAGTGTAAGATCGGAATATATTTCACTGAGTGAGCACCAAAAGGTATATTTCACGAGTGGCGCAGCCACGAGTGAAATACGAACTTTTGGTGTTCACAAGGTGAAATATATTTTGATCTTACACTAAACTAAACAAATTTTCTTTTTATTATATGCAAAGAAACGTTTTAAAAAGACATAAAACCTAATATTGAATTAATACCAATACTGTGCACGCTGGCATTTCACTGAAACAACGTAAGGGGCTTAAACTCAAAACAGTGAAATTATCAAAGTGGTAATTTCACTGTTTCAAACAGTGAAATTACCAGTTTTAAATCACTGATATATTTCTATAAACCATCGAAAAGCATGTAATAAAAGATAACAATAAAATCCGAAGAATTCTGATTGAAAACTGATGCATAGACTGGTTTCCTGCACACTTTTATGGGAACCAATATTATTATTTCAATATAGGACAGGGAACCAGAATAAACGGAAGCAGTGCATAAAAAAAAGAATGGCACTTTAAAAATGGAAAATTTAAAATAAAATGATCGACTTCGCTGTTTAAATTATAATGTACTATAATTTATGTCCAAAAGCTCGCTTTGAGGTTTTGCCTTATTCATATTATTAGTATATCAATGCACTTGTTCCATTTTCAGTCGCAACGCTGCGGCGATTTTTCTTTAGCCAAAAAATTGCTTTTGTTCAACTTCTGTTAATAACACTAAAAATTTTATTTTAATACTACTAATAGCGCCATTAACTTAATTAAGTGCTTCAAAAATACTAATAATAAGGCACCCAGGGATAGCTATCTCATGTTACAATGTTTATAGATTTTTTTGTAATGTCCTATTATTACAAAAAGATGTGTTGTAAACCTGCATCCCTCCCGATGAGCCCAAAAATTTCAGGAAAATTAATTTTTAGAAAAATGTACTTAAGATTTTAAGAAAAGTAAAAATAGTCTAGCAATAATTAACATGTCTTGTGGGATTAATGACTTTATTTTGAAGTACTTATCACCATATTTCTACATTGTTACTCAAGTAGTAAGGACTATTTTTGCATGTTTTGACCTGTTTTTTGGTAATTTACTTGGATTGTATGTGTTGTTTGAATTGTGTAAATTGCTTTCTTTGTTAAGTTCACAATATTTTACATAAAAAAATGTTTATGAATGTGAATGTGCAGGCATGCTGCTTTAAGGCTAGTTTATTTTTAATCAGGGGTATGATTATTTTTAATTTTTCAGGATTTGATCATATTCCCTGATGATATAGAATTCAAGCATGTGAAACAGTGCACAACAGGGAGAGTTTATGTGCTTAAATTTAAGTCCTCAACAAGAAAGTTTTTCTTTTGGATGCAGGTAAGCAGGATTTAAAATCAAATCAATTTTCCTCATATTCATTGTAAAGAGTCACAGTAAATGAAGTCCATAAAATCCTTAATCCAGCTGAAAATCCAGTTTTGGCTTATTTCTTTTATCACACATTGGCTGTTTTCAGAGATGTTAAAACTTACTTCTTGATACTCTTCAATGGTCATGACAATGTGCATGTGTATCGTGACGCTTAGTTAAACTATCTTTACTAATTATTACAAAGTTTCACAAGTAAAATGGTACATGTTACAGTGATTAATCTAGATGTGCGTCTTGCATAAAATACGCACAAAAATCGAAAAAGACGCACAGTTTCAAAATATGTGCGTTCAATTTGACGCATGCAAATCAGGTAGTTTATAATCCAAAATATCACGATTAGTGATTTCTATGTACCGTTTGATTACTTTAATTTCATCATTTGAATAATTTTTCAATTTCTTCAGTTGAATAATTTAATTTCCGATAATTCAGTGTTGCATCTAGGACGCGCGATTGCGCGATTTGCGCATATTTTAAGCAGATCGCGCATTTTAATGAAGTCAACGCGTGCCAAGTCGCGCATCTGACAATTTTTTAACTTTATTCATTTCATCTTCATCGTGCCTTGAAAGCTTCAGCCATGTTTGTTTTCACTTGTGGTAATGACTAAAATACGTACTAAAAAGCGTGTAGCAGCCGACTGGGTCATCTCGCGAGTGTTTTGTAGTATTCGTCAATATTTTATTTTTTCTACTTCCGTTTTTGAGCGGACGATAGCTGTCAAAAATGCCTGAACGTAAAATAAATGAATTTTTTTCGATAAGTCATAGTGTATTGTAAATGTGTGTCCCCCAATTTTTTTTCAAGTCCCCCACATTTTTCAGTTGAGTGGGGGACAATCCCCCATAATTTTGAAATTCTAGATGCAACACTGATAATTACAGGTGCAAGACTCATCCCCCCATTTGCTTGAAACGTTAAATCGCAAGAAATTGTTGCTTGTGATCTGTAACCGCCCAATATCGGCATTAGCCAATCAGAGCGTCCATTTTGCATGAGAGCGAATCGCCTACAATGGTGAAATATACAACGAAGTTGAGGCAGAGATCTGCCTGCACCATTGGCCCTAAAAAAATGAGAATGGCACAGAAAAATCGTCAGCAAAGGGCCAAGGGCGCATCTAAAATCTGTGCCAGACTTCTATTGTATGTTATTTAGTCATCCAGACAATACTGGTACCAACAGCAACAGGTTACCCATTCCCCTGTGATTACGCATATTCTTGTGTTTATCTATTTCCCTATAGAATTTTTCCAAGTTATCTACTTACCTAATCCCTTTCCCACACAGATGCGCATTTCTACTTCCGCATTTCTACTACCGTAAATTTAATCCAATAAAGCAAACAAAAAATCATAAATCTACTTAATATTTAAAATAATTATCAGTAACTGAAAAAAGTGTTGCTATTTAAGAAATGCTGTAAGTTACAGTATAATCTGACAGGTGTGTAATTGATTTCCCCTAAGGTCACTCAAGTTCACGCGGTGTGTAAAAAAAAAGATGTCTATTACGTCATCAAAATATTTGACAGGGTGATTAACCAATCAGGGTAACATTGTGCATGACTTTTTTTCATGATCAAAAGGTCTGTCTGTGTATGCTTTCTACACAGGCATACAAGGAGCAATAAAAGTCGTCAGTATATATACAGTGTGACAGGGTTATTTTGTGCAATTATGAACAATTAAAATGGATAATGCACAGTATTAGACATAAGTAGTATTAGAGAATATAAATTATGCAAATTAGATCTTTGAGCAGCCAATAAAAATTGTTTTGCCTGCAATTAATATTAGTACCAAAAATAAATTTTTTATACACTTTAATATTTAGTTACTTAATCGCTTGTTATAAAACATGCAAATCATGTCAAGGATCTGCTATTAAAAAAAAAATTTCTGCTAAGACGCATTTATTTGGCTATATGACTCATTGATTTTGCTACAGGACTCATTGTTTTCAAACATGTGCGTCATCCGACGCATTGTAAGGAATTTCTAGATTAATCACTGTGTTAGATCGGGCACCTTGAATGTGGTTACCTTTGGATATAAGAAGCAGTCACAATTTCAAATCTAAAAGAAGAAAAATTTCAGACTTATAACCATTTGTTAATTTTAATGCCTAAAATTAAATGAAAAATGCATGTATCAATATCATTGAATGACTTGTTATATTTTAAGGAGCCAAAGACTGACAAAGATGATGACAATTGCAAGAAAGTGAACGAATTTCTAAACAACCCTCCTACCCCGGGGTCCAGCCGAGGTGCTGGTGGGTCTGGTACTTTACCATCAGATCTTGCCAATTTAGGTATGCTGTTGTGCTTGTTGCTTACTGTATGAACTGTTGATTTATTGTTCAAATATTTGAAGGATCAGCAATGTCCAGTTGTGGTATCACTGATTGCTGAATGATGTTATCTTATATTATATCTTCCATTAGTGTCAAACCCCTCGTGGGGACGTAGACATGACTCTAGACTTTAGAGAGATACAAGGGAATCTGGGAACAAGTCCCTAGCTAGAATAGACCCCTTGGGTCTTTTACTTGCCCAGTGTATAGCACTGATACATGCAAGGATTACCTGGATTTCTTACCAGTACACCTCTAGGTAAAAATCCCAAGGGTGTCTCCCAGGATCGAACCCGGGACCTTAGGAGTAGCAGTCAGTGATCTTACCAACTGAACATTCTCACCACCTTTAAGAAAATTATAGACTGTTTCTTTGTTGCTTAAATAAATTGCCTTTTAGTCTTCAAGATAATATTTAAACCTTGAAACTGAGTTGCTATATATTGAGACTGTACAGCTTTACTTTTTAGCTCGACTATTCGATAAGAATAAGTAGAGCTATTGTAGTCACCCGAGCGTCGGCGTCGGCGTTGGTGTCCGCGTCGGCGTAACCACTTATGTTAAAGTTTTTGTAATAGTTCAAATATTTTCAAAGTCCATTGACATATGGCTTTGAAACTTGGCACACTTGTTCACCATCATGACCCCAACCTGTAGACAGGAGGAGGTAACTGTATCAAGCATTTTGACAGAATTATGCCCCTTTTTCGACTTAGAATTTACGTTAAAGTTTTTGTAATAGTTCAAATATTTTCAAAGTCCATTGACATATGGCTTTGAAACTTTGCACACTTGTTCACCATCATGACCCCAACCTGTAGACAGGAGGAGGTAACTGTATCAAGCATTTTGACAGAATTATGCCCCTTTTTCGACTTAGAATTTACGTTAAAGTTTTTGTAATAGTTCAAATATTTTCAAAGTCCATTGACATATGGCTTTGAAACTTGGCACACTTGTTCACCATCATGACCCCAACCTGTAAACAGGAGGAGGTAACTGTATCAAGCATTTTGACAGAATTATGCCCCTTTTTCGACTTAGAATTTACGTTAAAGTTTTTGTAATAGTTCAAATATTTTCAAAGTCCATTGACATATGGCTTTGAAACTTTGCACACTTGTTCACCATCATTACCCCAACCTGTAAACAGGAGAAGGTAATTGTATCAAGCATTTTTTTTTACTATCAAGCAGTAAGAATAGTCGAGCGTTGCTGTCCTACCGACAGCTCTTGTTAAATGGAAAAATTGTTTGAATATTTGAAAATTACTCAAAAGCACCTAAAAAATTACTAGGAACTGTCCAATCTTGCTATCTGATAGTGACAATAAATAAATGAATGTACATATTAAGTAAACCTTCAGCCTGCTGGCTGCAACATATTAAACCTATGCTACCAGTGCAGACCAAGATCAGCCAGCACATCCGTCAATCATAGTCTGCATTGTTCCCTATTCAGCTCCCTATTCCCAATATTGGGAAATTTTCCCTTTAAATGATAAATGGTTTTGTAAAGATTGAAGGATAGACAACGCAATTTAAGATATTTACTGAGGTAAGGGTTTACATACAAATGTACAAAAATATGAAAATGTGTCTGTATATAGAAATTCTTGAGAAAAAAAAGTATTTAAAGAAATTTTTAGTATTGATTTTTTTTTTTCAGTCGATAATGTATGAAATAAAGACTGATTTTTGTTTGGTATATTTATTTTAGCTGAAGATTCCGATCTACAAAATCTTTAAAAAAAATGTTTCAATTCATAATGTATAAAATAAACACTGATTTTTTGTTTGGTGTATTTATTTTAGCTGGAGATTCCGATCTACAAAGTATACTTGGAGGGATGAGCCAACAACAGTTGATGCAATTGTTAGGTTAGTAGATAAAGTATATGTAATTTTTTAGTCTTCTTTAAAAAAAAATTTAAGTCACCGATAAGCGTACAATTTTCATTAACCTGTTATAATGGTAAATGCCTGTAAATCATTGGACACATAACTTACAGGGTTTGGCCTTTCCTAATGTCCTTATGAAGTTGTGTTTTAACTTGAGAAATGTTTTTTTACTAAAAAATACTGAAGATGTTCTAAACAGTCCACTTGTGCCAGATATATATAGAATACTAGTTACAAGTGCAGGTTGGCAGGTCCATCTAAATGCCCACAGTTCCTTAAATACTGCTCTGGTGTACATGTTCATTGTTAGTATTCTATCAGCAGCAACAGATGAATGTCACCTTACAATCTAAGGAGTCTCTGGGTAACATGAATTTATGTATAGACCGTATCTTAGTTAAGTTTTTATAATCTTTTTGAAATTGTATCTTAGTTAAGTTTTTATAATCTTATTGAAATTGGTATGTGTAATATGAAAATGATCATGACTTTTTTAGCTAGATTTTAATGATTAGATGTGTTGGTTTTTATCTTAATCTAAATTAGCCCATGTTCTGTATATCATACTAGACAGATATACATGTAAGAAACAGTTATAATTTCATGTTTTAGTAAGATACAGAATATGTACAGAAAATGGGAAAATATGCAAAATTTCAAATCAACAGAATATGAAGATGGAAAATATTAAATTTCAACTTAATTGAAAATATGTAGATGAAAGAAGTAACACATTTCAAATCAGTAGAATATTAAGATGGAAAAATATACCAATCTCAAATTGTAACATTTTAAAATGCTTTAATTTTTTTTATTACAGGTGGTATGAATATGGGAGGGCCCGGTGGCGGTCTCTCTGCATTAATGGGCCGTCCTGGTAGTGTCCAATCAACAGCCTCAGAACCGTAGGTTGAAAATCTTTCCTTCGACTCATTTTCTTGGCATATCTAATTTATAAAGGTCAATGTAATCAAATTAAACTAGTTCTTATTCCTGCACAAGTATTTACATAGAACATGTAACGAAATTTTAAGCAAGGTAAAAAATGGATTTTTTTAGCCTTCCAGTAATTTATAACAAAAAAATATGGCTTAAATTTATATTATAAACCTCATTTCTTGTACTTCATTTATCTAGACCTTTAAGAGTGCAGTCGTCTCCGGGAACCAGGGGTGGATCATCTGACACGCCCTCTCAGCCACGCCCTGTGACAGCCGCCGCCCTACCATCCCAGAATACTACAACAACGTCGGCCACAACTGGCAGCACAACTACAACATCAGCTGGTCAGAGCTCCAGTGCTAACAAACCTGCGATACAGTTGAGTGATTTACAGAACATACTTTCTAATATGACTGGTGAGTGTCAAGTGAATTATAAGTTAAGGAATTTGTAAGAATGTAGACTTTGTTATTCAGTGTAAAAAACTGACATACTTTGGTACAAATGTCTTATGCAGCATTGCTATATATTTATGTAGCTCAAATAAGCAATATAATGACCAGCATTGAGAGGGGCACAACAAAAAATTTTGACTGCTCAAATATGTTATGTTTGAAAATAAATGGCCAGGTTAACTTAACTTTAAGGGTTTGTAGTGACCTTTTAAACTGTTTTTTACTCTCTGAAATATAGTTTGTCTTGTTGTATGCTAGGACAAGGTTTATAAAAGCATGAAATTAGTAAGACAGTATTGTCACGGGTTTGTTAGAAAATATGAATGATTTATTGATACATTTATTTTTCTCTTTATTTTCAGTACCAGCTGAAAAGGAATGTAAGTATTCATGCATTAATTAATTATATGTTTTTTAAATAAGATGGAAGTCTTGGTTCTAAGTTGCATTAGAAAATAAGTGCAAAGAAATTTTAACCTTGCTGAACTTAAATATTAGAGATTTTCATGAAACAATTAAGAGATTTCCATGGGTATGGTCAATTGATCAATTGCTCACTGTTCTGGTATTTGTTTTCCATTATAAGCTTTGAAGTGCATGTATTTAATGTTATAGAGATTTCCTACTATCATTTGGAAGTTTAGTGTTTCTACTCACATCTGAAATAATACTGAAGGTCACCGTCAGTCAACCTCTATCAATAAAAGCTGTACAGCAAAAGTTACCATTTGACTTTTATATTCTGTGTGACATAGAACACAATAATAAAAAAAAAAAAAAAAAAAAAAAACTTGTAAGAGTGATGCTTTGTTAGTAAAATTAATAAATGTACCGTGAAAAATAAGTACCTGTACCTCTTAAACATTGATGAAGCTACTGGTATTTGAAAATTCCTAGGTTAACAACAAGTCATGTCCTCTCAGAACCCCAGCCTTTATTTTGTTTGAAAAATTAAGAACAAAACTAAATTATATTGTATAAATTTTTTTTTTCAAAAGTTTTTTTCTTATTCTATTTTAATTTTTGGCCACCCAGATTAGACCCCCAGGTAGCCTACATCTAGGGACTGTCCCAACATCTAGGGACCCACATTATAAATAACTTAACTTTTCTTTTTTTTAAAATCCTCAGAATTGGGTTAGGGAAAATTAAAAAACATAACGGGGGGGGCATGTCGGGTTTTAAAAAATTTTAAACCAGATTTTCTTTAAATTTATGGGAATTTAAATTTTTGCAGAAAGGGGCTAAAAATGTTTTTTCAGTTTTTTCCCAGCAATTGATTTTGGTCGGCATTAAACCCCGGGTCCATGTTTCCTTTTTCCGGGGGGGCCCCCAATTTTGGAGATGTACCCCAAGAGGTTTTGACCCAAATATCAAACCTTTGAAGGGGGGGTTTGCTACCAAAATCAGAGGAGGAGCTTAGAGCTACAATAACGTCCCCTCAGTTCAAACAGGTAAAGTGTAGCTCATTTATAACAACACAAATATTTTTTGCTGTGTGTATGAATCTTGACAAATCTTATGATTCCTTTATGTGAGATTGTATTCAGCTAGCTTACAGAACAACAATGGATCTACTCCGGTGCCTCTTCTTGTCAGAAATAATGTTTGGATGGGCATCTGAGGTCTTCTTCCACCAGTAAAACTGAAAAGTCGCCATATGACTTTTACTATTAGAGCTGTCATTGATTCAATGCAAAGCATATCAACGATATATCGATATCAAGTGTCTAAAATCAACGATACACCGATATATCGATAATATCCTATACTCACTTGTCTGTCATTCACTTTCATACCTGTTTCAATGATTTCAGTCAAAAACATGTTCTGTACAGTGTCTTGTCCACTGCATGATTTTTTCTAGACAATATTTTTTGTCACCATTGCTATGAAATAATTCCACTATATAACAAAAGCATAACATTAGATATAAATAACTGCTTCTGTATATATTTTGGGTGAATTTTATAATTTCTAGACATTTAATTTATTAGTCAAAAGTATCGATGTTTTAAAATGTGTATCGATTATTGATCGGCAAAAAAATATCAACGATACATCGATATTGTCGATATCGATGACAGCTCTATTTACTATGTTGGTGCAATGTAAAATCCAACCAAAAAGAAAGAAAAAAAGAATATGAAATTCTTAGGATAGAAAAAATGAGTATAGTAAATATAAATATAGTAAAGGATCTGTAACTAACTGCAGAGTTAGTAGTAAAAGAAATCTGAAAATTATTTAGCAGGGATGCTGAGTGTCAAAAACACTTAATTTGCTGCAATGTAAAAAAGTTGGAACATTGTCCAGTTAATTTATTGCAGAGTCCAAAGCCTGTTGGCATAGTCAGGCTTTGATTGTCAAAGTTATATTCACAATTAATTTACAGGGTTTATTGACTTGATACAGTCAAACCATTGTCAGTGAACAAAAGTCATGCAAAGGAGAGACTGAATATGGCCTCAATAGACAAGTGGTCTTTATTTTGAGGTTTATCTGTTCTGTGTTATCAATAAAGTGTTGTTGGTTAAAGGTCACCTTTGTTTATAGGGTGATCTCTATTCAGAGATGATGATTAACTCAGGTTTGACTGTAGTTACTTTACTGTGAAATACACCTTTTCTAACATAATTACATGGAGATTAATTTAAAAAAAAAATTAACACACATTGACTGTTGTTCTAGAAAATGTTTTTGAGGAAAACCCTGGAAGGGTGTTAGAATTTCAAAAATATAGATGTATTAATGAGAAATGTGTTTTTTATATGTGTTTATTTAATAAAGCACTTGTATTATACATACATATGTCAGGCATTGTCGTCGTTCAGTTCGGCACTACAGTCGGGTCAACTAGGACCACTGATGACTCAATTTGGTCTTGGAGAGGATGTAGCTAACGCTGCGGCACAAGGAGGTAAGAGATGATTTGAGCCGCGTCATGACCAAACCAACATAATTGGTTTGCGACCAGCATGGATCCAGACCAGCCTGCGCATCCATGCAATCTGATAAGGATCCGTACTGTTCGCTCACAAACTCTATAACAAGTGGAGAAACTGATAGTGAACAGCATGGATCCTGATCAGACTGGGCGGATGCGCAGGCTGGTCTGGATTCATGCTGGTGGCAAACACATTATGTTGGTTTTGTCACGACAGGGCTCATTATTAATATATATGTCACTATAACTACATTATTATTATATATGTCACTATAACTCTTAAGAAAGAGTAAAGCACATCTTTGTGAAATACCATTAGATTTTGTAAGAAAAAAAGATAAGTGTGCATGACTTTAGTCTATTTATTGTATTGATTTAATCTTTTAGGAGTATTCTAGTTAATATCTAAAAAGATGCCATTATGAGCATGTTAAACAAATCTCAAAACCATCATTCTTCTTAAATCTGAATGGGCTTGAAGCCTCTGTGACATTGAATTCTTTCAAATGAAAAAGTCAATGAGGGGTTGCCTTTAAGCATCAGAATTGCAGCTAAAGAGGGGCTTGAAGAGATGCCTTTATGAGCATGTTAAACAAATCTCAAAACCATTATTCTTCTTAAACCTGAATGGGCTTGAAGCCTCTGTGACATTGAATTCTTTCAAATGAAAAAGTTTGAGGGGTTGCCTTTAAAGCATCAGAATTGCAGCTAAAGAGGGGCTTGAATAGCTTGAGTCACTATCTATGCATCTCTTAGCTCCAGCAGGTGAGGTGGTTTTGACTCCGAGTGTTGCTTTAGGTTTGAAATCATCTTTATGGTGCCGTATGACCTAAATAGTGTTGGTGCACCGTAAAAACATACATGTACAAAACAAAGCTTTCCTCCTAACTAGTGTATAAGACAGGTGGAGGGTTTTACTCATATCATCCTCGTGCCTGAAATATTGTATGCAGAATAATCTGGAAGTCATCTTCCATTAGTACAACTAGAAAATTCCCATGTGACCATAATAGTGTGAGTGCCAATGAAAATACATGCGTGAAAATATAAAAAATTCTTTTTCATTTATTTTGCAGATTTGGAAGCATTTGTGAAGGCCATGCAGGTACAACAGAAATCGAAAGAAGCGAAGAAAGACCAGCCAGAAGCTATGGACCAAGATTAGAAATTTAACTTTTGATTTTCAAGTTTATTGGGAAATGTTACATTGTGATTTCCTGACATTTTGAATTGATGATTGGATAAAGTTTGACTTAGTTATTAGATCATTTTGATGAATGGACAATGTTTTGTGAAAATAAATACACATGAAACTTTTTAAATCGTTTGTTAGAAAGTTCTTATTTCTTGTTGTATAAAAATTTAAAAGAAATATCAAAATAATTTACAAGTGAAGTATTAAGAATTATTTAATTAACTATAGTTTAATGGTTCTTGTGATGTTGGTTTGAAATTTTTCAGTTTTGAAATACATGTCAAACTTGAATGATGATGTTTGTTTATTTCTACACCCCTCTGTTGTGAATGAATAATATAATATATTGAGTATTTTCAAATTAAACCATTTTTAGCTCGACTATTCGAAGAATATGAGAGCTATTGTAGTCGCCCGGCGTCCGCGTCGGCGTCTGCGTTGGTTAAAGTTTTTTGTAAAGTCAAATATCTCAATTATTACTTGAGATAATCAATTGAAACTTACAATACTTATTTATAGTAACAAGGTACACCAGATTGACAAGTTGGATAACTCTGCCTACAATATTGACAGAATTATGCCCCTTTTTAACTTAGAAATTTTGGTTAAAGTTTTTTGTAAAGTCAAATATCTCAATTATTGCTTGAGATATTCAATTGAAACTTACAATACTTATTTATAGTAACAAGGTACATCAGATTGACAAGTTGGATAACTCTGCCTACAATATTGACAGAATTATGCCCCTTTTTAACTTAGAAATTTTGGTTAAAGTTTTTTGTAAAGTCAAATATCTCGATTATTGCTTGAGATATTCAATTCAAACTTACAATACTTATTTCTAGTAACAAGGTACATCAGATTGACAAGTTGGATAACTCTGCCTACAATATTGACAGAATTATGCCCCTTTGGAACTTAGAAATTTTGGTTAAAGTTTTTTTGTAAAGTCAAATATCTCAATTATTGCTCGAGATATTCAATTGAAATTTAAAACACTTTTTTATAGTAACAATGTACATCAGTTTGCAAACTTGCATAACTCTGCCTGCAATATTTGCAGAATTATTTGCCCCTTTGAAACTTAGAAATTTGGGTTAAAGGTTAAAGGTCCTCAAAGATATTTACTTGAAACTTTACACATGCACTTAGGGTCATAATTGGAGGGTCATAATTGTATGTCACTGACCAAGTTCCATAACGCTATCTTGCATTAAGGCTGATTTTCATATCCCCTTTTCTACTTAGTCCTCTTGATTAATGTTTACATGCAAGTTTTACATATCTCAATAAACTATTAAAGATATTTATTTAAAAACTTTACATATGCATTTAGGGTCATAATTGTAGGTCACTGACAAAGATCCATAATTCTATCTTGCATTTAGGCTGATTTTTCTCCCCTTTTTCAACTTAGAAATTCATGGTAAAGTTTTGCTTGTAAGCTGTTATCTCAATAACTACTGAAGGGTTTGTGCCTTTTTTGGGACAATTTTATGCATTCATAATAATAAAGCAGTGATTTACTTGATAAAACATCTTAATTAGAAGCCTTTGTACCTTTTCTGTCAAATTTATGTATTCATAGGTAATTAGTATTATTATACTCAATAAAACACCCTTGTGACATTACCTTCCGAATAGTCAAGCGAATACTGTATGATTAGACTCTCTCTCTAAGGCCTATAACATGAATTTATAAAAAAAAATTAGCCCTTTTGTGAACTTAAAAAATTTAACATTATCAAGGCTCTTTTACTATCAAGCACTTAGAATAGTCGAGCATGCTGTCCTACTGACAGCTCTTGTTATACAAAGAAGACTATTCAGCAAGTGTTTAGAAGGGTTGATGATTCTGTCTATGAGCCTACCAATAGTTATGATGAATCAATAATGATCAATGAAGTATTCCATCAATAACACATCTCGCATATCTACGCATGATAATGCATCCTGGAAAACTAAAATAACACCCTTGTTGCTGACTCGTGTTATTTCACGCCTATTACAGTTCAAGGGTTGCTAACATGTCTATTTCCCTGTGAGACGTGTTATTTTTTATTATTGTGAGCCAATATTTTAATGTAATTTTTCACTACTATACGTCAAACTTACTAGCTATTCAATCGTTTTTTTTATCAGGGGAGAGAACTAGAACATTACATTTTCTTAAGTCTATATAGATTACTCTCCCTTGGTGTACCTGACATTAGGCCATGTAGAAAAAAGTTTACATGGGGTAAAATGAGCATATATAATGCTATAGAAATGGTAAAAAACCGTTACTTATCCTCGTCCTGCTGGATGAAAGTGATCAGCCTTTCTCACTCACTATGACATTCAGCATATACGAGCGCGTATGTGTCTTATCAGGCTGTCAATTTTCATTAGCGAAAAAAGAGCTATTGCAACAGTCCTGTTGTCTTTGCTATTGCATAACTTTAATTTCTCAATTAATTGCTTTTATACAAAATAACAAGAACCCTTGAATAAGTCTGAACTTGACTTTTTCTTATAAATGACCTCGATATTCAAAGGTCATTTTTTTAAAAATGTTGCTTGATTTGCGGTAGAACGTAAAATAACTGTTTATTATGAATGGATTGTTTTCATACTTTCACACAACAATGTTTTAGACCTTAAAGAAACATTTGTTATTATTGAATGGATTGTCTTCATAAAGTCTTTGTAGCATTTTTGATGTTCGCATTTTCATGATAAAAGGCAATAAATGAAGTTTATTGAAATAAACTTTATTATATATTATCAGCCATTACTGCCTTGGCTTCGATTTTTAGTCGAAATTTATGATGGTCCGGCTCGAAAAACATGATTATTCGTAGTGAGAAAACTATGCTGGTTGTTGAGGAAAGCGTGTTTGTTTTGAGGACGTGTCCACCATTGCCTTAACCTACTGGACCCGGAAGGAATAATTATTTGCCTCCAGAAAAGAGCCAGGTAAGTCTGAAAATGCTCTAAACTGGTAGCTCACTCTTTTTAGCTCGACTATTCGCAGAATAATCGAGCTAATGCAGTCACCCATTTGTCGGCGTCGGCGTCCCTGTGGTTAAGTTTTTGCATGTAAGATGGTATCTCCATAACTACTGAAGGGAATGGATTGAAACTTCACACACTTGTTCTCTGTAATTATCTAAGATGATTGGCACAAGTCCCATAACTCTGATTTGCTTTTTTACATAATTATACCCCTTTTTCGACTTAGAAATTCTTGGTAAAGTTTTTGCGTGTAAGCTGGTATCTCCATAACTACTGAAGGGAATGGATTGAAACTTCACACACTTGTTCCCTGTGATTATCTAAGATGATTGGCACAAGTCCCATAACTCTGATTTGCTTTTTTACATAATTATGCCCCTTTTTCGACTTAGAAATTCTTGGTAAAGTTTTTGCGTGTAAGCTGATATCTCCATAACTACTGAAGGGAATGGATTGAAACTTCACACACTTGTTTTCTGTGATTATCTAAGATGAATGGCACAAGTCCTATAACTCTGATTTGCTTTTTGCATAATTATGCCCCTTTTTTACATAAAAAAGTCTAGGTAAATTTTTGCTTGTTAGACGGTTTCTCCATAACTACTGAAGGGTTTGTACCTTTTCGGACAATTTTATGTATTCATATAGGTAAGCATTATTATACTCAATGAAACACCCTTGTGACAACTTTTCGAATAGTTGAGCGTTACTGTCCTCCCGACAGTTCTTGTTTGTATTTTGATATTTAAATCCCTTTAACTTCGAATGTTCAAAATTTAAAGGAAGGCAAATCTATTGCACAAACCAGCGGATTAAAGATTAGATTGCACTATGCAAATGGTAAACTTTCCTAATGTTGGGAGTGACCGCTGAGTTAATAAGTAATATACCTTGGCAGAAGAAAAATGAAACAATTTAACAAATATATAACTTTAATCTAGAAAGAAATATAAAAAAATGCATACAAAAAGATCAATAACAGTAACTGTACAAAGTTAAGGCAGTTGTCAATTTTTATCTTATCCTTCAACATTCACTTGTCAAATTTACTTTGATATCTTTCGTACTTTTAAAACAAAGTAATATCAAATACAAAATGTACATGTAATGCCCACATAGGAAGAGATTCCTTTGCAATTAAAAAACAACAGCAAAATGCGCCCCTTATTTCACATTAATTTATACATTATGAAATGAATCAGTACATATATCAGCTTTGTGCCCGCATTAATTAAAACAAGATAGATCTATCCGGTTAACTTGCACTTTCAGAAAATATTCTTCCACGAGCAAAACTCGTCTTGTTGTTTTTAAAATCGTGTACATTTTTAAATTACATTTCCAGAAAACATTTAAAAAACTGCAAAATTCTAATATTAAAAAGTTTGCCAACGAGAATCAGCACTACTGGAATACTTAAACAAAGTGTTAAAAAACGAATAAAAAAATAAATTCGAAAGTCCGTGACAAGTGGCCCTTGATTACGGACCGATGCATTTAACTTTGTCTTTGACTATTTTTAATCTACTACCACATTAAATATATCCTGAATCTAATTAATTGACAGCGTTAAACATCTTTCAACGAATACTGTTCTGACGATTAAATCTATTTCTACGATTTATGACGTCATCACTTGGATTTCCGGTTGCACCAGGGTGGTGTGGATTATGATTTAGATTTGGTGCTGCGTTCATTTTCCTGTCGTCATCAGATATGATTGGTTCCTCCCTATTTTCGGATACATTCGGATATTCAGACTCTCTGAACTCTAAAAACATGCTACTGATCATGTCTGTAACGACCAAATCAGATGTATTGATACTGATCATTCGTGTAGCAAAACAACCATCATCTCTGAAAAATAATTAAAAACTGTTTTATTCTTGTAAATTTATACTAATTAGAAGCAGTAACTGATACACATGTACATTAAAACCATTATACATGTATATTTTATATTTTAATAATCTTAATTTCAGTTTGGAAAAATTTGCAAAGAATCAATGTGCAAAATAATATAACTCTTATCATCCACTATTTTGAGCGGGTATATATATTTATTGAAATGGACAAGAAACCTACCGCAGATAGTGCTCGGCAAATTTTTTACATACTATCTTATCAGAGGGCTGCAAAGGTTTCCCGCTGATTTTAAGATATTTTTTCACATATGCGTAGTTGTTTCTTTTTACCACAATCAAGTATATCCACTGAAAAATAAACATGCATTCTATACCATCATTTTCTTTCTTAAGTATACACAGTTCCCGTAAAATACATCTCTAGTGCAAAAGTACTAATCAGTTAGTGTTGGAATGGTGACTATATATTCGGAAATGCAAACATAGCTTAGAATATTAAAAGAACATAACACTGTTTATATTTAAATATATATATATATACTGTAATAAGGATAATATCATTATCAATTTGATATATTTCACATTTGAAAATGTTTGAACAATATCTTAAATATTGTGATTGTATATTTCACAGACACTTGGATTGTGGACCTCACTCTTTCCCCGTCCCTGATAAGAGAGCTCCGCATGTCGGTGTTCAATTTTAAGGTAGAACGCGACACTGTGCGAACTTTCGAGTAGCGTCTTGAAAATTTGCATGCAAAAAGTTGACCATATTTCTGATTACGTTCCGTTGATTTAATTTCAATAGTTTCGGCCAAGTTTTGTACACACGGCGTCAAAGGGGTCACCGACTCAAATTTTTCGGTACACGTGATTTTATTTCCCCCACCCCTTGAGTAATTTTGTAACGAAATTCGACGTATGCAGATACGATTGAAACTTCAAAGTGCAGCAATAATGTTCAGCTTATCAGGAGAATTGTTCTAGAGTTTTACTTATACATATGAAAAAACAACAACAATGTTCCATTGCAAATGCTTAAAATTTAAAATGAGACCTGACGATGAAAAAGCATATTTATATTTAAAATCTTAGCCTTGGATTTAGGCGTTGATATTTTTGCTTATTCATAACATATGTGCTATTTTTTACGACCATGTCACAATTTCTGATTGATATATATACTCGATTTTCTGATTTGCTAGTAAAGTCTAAATACAGGTACATTTCAATATAACGTGTTATTTCAGCAAAAAGGAACTGACAGCAGTGAGATATGTAACAACAATTGTCTATCATGGACTTGGTCGAAGTGCAATTTTATTGAATTTATTATCGTCTTTCCGTTTTGTGACATTTATGTTTGCTGAAAAAAATGTACGAAAAACAAACAAATTTTCTTCTTGTTTTTAAGCATGGTTAATAACTTCATATGGAATTGTAAACAGACGAATGTACAGAAAATGACGTCAGACATTTAACGTCAATGCGTACGCTGCGCAAACAAATACAGCGGACAGTTATCATTGCGGCGTAACTTTTTGATATTGTAATACATTAAAATTAATAAACTTGAATCGAGAGATATGCCATAAGGAACAATAAGCAACTATATATTTTATGTAAATTTAGAAATTTACGGAAATTCGATCATAAATTAATACGTAGTCTACAAAAAATTCTGCAAAGTTATACATTTTGTATTACCCACACTATGAGTGATATACTGTGAGTGATATGTATTTTATTTCACCTATTAAAAACCAGAATTTGAATTTCATTTGTTAGCAAAAACTATTACAACAACTTGACAGAGTATATGCCAAATAACTGTGTGAAATATTGACAAATTAAAATAAATTCATAAATGAATTTAAGTCAATTATATAAGCGTGAAGCAACAGTCATGTCTGAAACGTTAGCTCAGTGGGTGTTGGATTACAGATGTAGCACGTTCGATTCTACAAGTAAATAAACATCTTTAATACATTTTTTTCTCGTTTTGCTCATCATTTTAGAATATCATAATGTTAAAAAAACGTTTAATTGAGGATTCACCATAAATGCTGTATTATAAACATCACTATCAAATCGGCCTTTTCAAATATTCATTATTCACTGTATAGCCAAATTTATGGCAGAATTTATTTTGAACAGGAAAACTTAAAAACAGTATTTTAAACATGAAATATTATAAAACGCTGTAAATACACATCTGCGGATGTTTAGCGAACCAGGCGACTGCACAAAGGAGTGTTGCGTTGTAAATCTTTATACAAAATAAAGATATTTCAATATATATTGTCATTTTTTTATCAGTACATGCTACGGGAACTGTAGCGGATCTGTCAATGTTTTATATGTTCTGTTCACCGACCATTTAATCAGTATGCAATTAACATGGAAATATTACATTTTACTCAAAGTTTTACTATTTAAAATGTTATTCTGACAAATGTCAGATCAGACTATTATTTCTTTCCTCTTGTAGACAGTGGGTCATTCTGAAGTACATCCGTATTCCAAAATGTATATTTACAAGAATAAAAATAATCATATTTTGGTAAAATCTGACCTTCTAATTAAAAAGAAAATACGTATTTTAGTACATACGGACATCATACAAAGTTCCCGTATAGAACGAGGGTACGAATCACGGTATATATTAGTCATATACGTATTGCATGATATACGGTCTCGTACATCTAAGTATTCAAATTTTACTTATTTTAACCTGTCTATCTATAATATTCGGAATTCCGTACCCTTTATTGTATCCATATATTTTCCGTAGTGGTCATAATGGCGTAAAATTCCGTTTATAGCGGGATTTTGACACAGGGCGAACGTTTAATGACATAAAAATAACAAACGCCCGTGATAGCGTGACTTTTATCCAAAGGGGTGGGGGAAATAAAATCACGTGTACCGAAAAATTTGAGTCGGTAACCCCCTAATTTTTTTAGTTATTTTGACTGAGTATACATTTTAAAGTACGTTTAAAGAAAAAAATCAAAAATTTATTTCAGGAATTTTTAAATAAGCCGCTTTAAAGCCGAAAATTGCGGCTAAACTTAACGTCAAATTTTACACAAAATTGACAATTTTCTTTCCATTTTTCAAACATTTTTTGGCGTAAAACGATAAATTTTATATCAGCTTAAAGGAAAAAATACTTTCCGTCGAATGCTGTAGAATTTAAGATATTTTGTCCGCCAATGGCGTTGAAATACCCATAACAGTTGCCAAGGATACGCAACGACGTCATGTTCAAAAACGGGCTTTGATGGTCAACTTTGACGCCGTGTGTACAAAATTTGGCTGAAACTATTGAAATTAAATCAACGGAACGTAATCAGAAATATGGTCAACTTTTTGCATGCCAATTTTCAAGACGCTACTCGAAAGTTCGCAAAGTGTCGCGTTCTACCTTAAAATTCAAAACCCAAAACGAAAAGATAAAAAAAACATAAGTTATTTATCGGACAATGTCACTGTGACATTTGACCTAATGACCTCAAAATTTACATAGAGATCATTTTCTGGCCATGACCAGCATCTCAGATAGAAAAACCTAGTACATGTACAGTTTGTTGTCAACCTATTGAGCGGACATCGATGTGGCTAACGGACGGACGAACGAGCGCAAAACCGTAGAAAAACTGAAGCCTATCATTTCCAAATCTTACTCATAAATATTTGAGGCAAAATTATCAAAGTCTCAGCGAAATACAAGGGCTGACAATCACTTTGTCCATCAGTGTCTGTGAAATACATGTTGCAAAAGTCTTATCGATGGGGATAAGCATATGTAGTACTAAGAAAGCAAATTCTATACAATTATTATACATAATATGAATGGTATAGAAAAATTATAATCCCCGTGCACATACCATACATAGCATAGTGACATTAGACAATTGTCATTATATGTAGAATAGTAAGATCTAAATTACATACCTTTAACAAATTGTAAAATGTAAGGAAGGCGACCATTACAAACCAAAACCATAGAAACAGATATACTTTCTCGTTGAACAAATTAATCGGTAATACACACTGCACTGTATACCTGAAATTAACAAATGAATGATGTATATCGAACATATTTAATGTAACTAAATTATGTAGAGTTGTACAGCTACTTTAATTATTATTAAACTGTGATTTCCAATTTCATAATAAGATAAAAAAGGAATATTTATATATCAATACACGACGTACAAATGTAAACAAATAAAAAATGATATTGTCTTCCAAGATCTGGTGTGTAATTTTCTATCGTAATTGTTTGGCACTGCCTTTCATTTTTCGGTAAAAGAGCAAAACGTTGGGGTCGATGAAGACAACTAAAACAAAAGTCATTATATTAATACGTTTACACTTGAAACTTGTTCAAAACCACAGTCCATCTTTATTATAGAAATTAATTTAGAAATATGAAGGACTCTTCATTTGTTATAGGAGGACAAACAATTTTGTTGAATTCCGTTCCATACGGCGTTTGCGGTCTGTCACTCAAAGCGGACTAAAGGACACACAAACGAACAACACCAACACTATATTTCTCTGACATTTCGTCAGGGGTAGATTGTAGAGCGTAAACCCATCCTCTGAACTAAAGGAATATAATATTCAAATATACAATCGAACAAACCTTTGTATATTGGCCATCTGCCTGATGTCAAAGTCACACAGGGTAATACGTGGAAACCTTGGCGATTCCTCGTCAACTGTCATTGTCTTGAATGATTGCAACCATTCTAATCCAAACATTCTGCTAGAGTCATTGGCAATAAAATCATTTAAAAAGAACAACTGGGCCACAACGTTCACTAGATAAAGTAATTTCATAGTTAAGTATAGGCCTGTTAAAAAGTTTCCTCTTCTTTTATAACAAACAAAGCAGAGCATACGTGAAAGCGTATCCTTAAAACGCGAAAACCTAGAGTTATGATACGGTTGACTGACTCGTATCCATTTATTTATCATCATGATTAAACCTTCATAAGCGTTTGTGCGGTCCTGCGGAGATGCATGTTGCGAAATTTGCGCATTTTTGATCAGTTTATCGACATTAAGACCGGAACCCTCGTGTAACATCTTCCACAGTATATTTGGCAGTTTAAATAAAAAGGCCTGCAGTAATAGGTATATTGGAACCCATTGGTAGTAGGTAATTTCCTCCTCCTGAAACAAAATAAAAACATACATGATTTAGAAATGTCTCATATCAAATTTCTGTATTTTAATAATTTTGTGAAAATTTTCTTTACTTTCCGCGCCTTAATTAATTAATCCTTGCAATCACCATTAGCAACAAAACAAGTAATGTCATCAAAGTCTTAGTAATTCGCCGAACCAAGACGAAGTTTTTGGTTCATGTGTTTTTATACGAATAATAAAAGGTCACCCATTCTTCTTTATGTGATTTATTATAGGATATATGGACAATGTACATCATATTTGTACATTTGACTTTCATTTGCATAGTTGCAGTCCACATTCTTTTCTCTTAAAATTCATTAAACTTTTATATATTGACTATAAGTATATATATGATATCATACATGTATATCGAATTCATCTTTTTTTTGTTGTAATTTGCTTATGAATTATTTTGTAAATTAAAGTGACAGCTTTTTGGTTCATTTAATAAAAAATATTATCATATTTTAATTTTACACTGTATAACAAGTACAATATTATAACGAAAGAGCTCATCACTCTATAGAATACTAAGAAAACAATACTATATTTACAATTTCTTTTTTTTTTAATTTGAAAATTTAGATAAAAGTTGCTTAAAAATCACTTCCTAGCACATACATTGTAGAGGAAATGTATCGAATACCACAAGTGAAGTAGCTCTGTCAACAAGAGCAATGTAATGTTTTAACTTAAGTGTACATTAAATTGTTCCAGGAATTCAGCCTGTAGCCCTATTTCCTATAAATATTACAGATGGTTATGATCAAAAGAATTAACTATTTACCTCACGTTCCTTAATGTTCGTTGGAATCACGTCAAACATTGGAATGTAGTACGTATTTTTAATCCAACAATAATTATGTATATATTTTTCAAAATATTTTTCATCATGTTTCAGTTCTGCAGGAATCCAGCAAGATATTGGTGAACCCACATATTGTGCCGTACTGACAACGGCGGCAAACACCAGCAATAGCATGACGGTGTAGACATGATTTATCTTGTCCACCCAGTCGTCACAGCGGCTGTTAAAGAGCCGTTTGAAGGACGGGATAAATGCAAGGACCTCCCTGAAAATAAATGAAGAACGATACAATTGCATGAACAGTCACATATAATAATGGTGCGTCATTAGAATACTCAATATTGAAAAAGCCATATTAAGGAATGTTTTATCTATATTTATTGTGTCTGCTGTTGATTTTCCTGAAATGTAAGCTTATTTCATATCGTATAAAAAAAAAGGTGTCATGCCAAGAAAAATTATGTTTGTTTAATATTGTTGTTGTTTAAAAACTTGCACTATCACTGACAATGTCTGTGTGATACTTCTTTCATTATTATAGAATAAAATGTTGTTCTACAAATAAAACGAAGACTAGTTTGATATTGAACAAGAACATGTATTGATGTATGTAGACATGTCTTATTGTACAAAGCCAAAAATGTTGTACACAATTTAGTCATATCAACAATATTAATGTTACACATATACATTTGTATAACGGCCATTTCTAAATGCAATCTCTCTATGATAAAATACAAAACCTTTTTACTAACACAAATAATATACAATTAAGATGTTTGGAACAAAGACTTCTTTCAATCCTAATCTCTAAAAAAAATGTTTTTGTATCTGATCGCAAGATCAGTAAATACATAGCTAACATCCACGGTCTAACACAAAATTTCCTAACAGACCTAAAAACGCAAAGTAGTTCTCACTCAAAACTGCTTAAAAACCAGCAATTTTAAAGACATAATGATTTTTAATGTAGGCATTTAACGAATTACAGTGCATTGAAAGTTCAGATTAGTCAATAGAAATATGAGGTTACAATCACAAATTTCGCGGATGAATATCATTTTAATCAAAGAAAATGCTATTTTTAGCTATGTCGATTACTGAATACTCCAGGGCGTAGTACACAAATAAATCTGACTGCCGAGTAGTGGAATATATACATGTTGGACTGTTTTGGCGAGAAGATTTTCGCTAAATTATTTTTATCAGTGTTAAACAGGTTTATCGTGAACAAAATACCTCGAAATTGATAAGGATTACAAACACGAAATGGAAATTCTCAATTTAGAATTACAATGTATTTGTTTTTATTCAGGCTACATATTACGTATTACTTCACCGTGGTGCAGGAGTATCGCGCTCGTATCGCGCTCGTTTAGGGTGTGAGAGGCCTAAGGTTCAAATCCTAGTCGAGGCAACTTTTTTTTGAAGTGTCTTTTTTAAGGAAGTAGCCACGATATGCAAGGATAAAGTGTGGCTGTCATAAAAAATGATTTTTGATGCAACTCTAGTCATGCAATGTATCAATCTCAAACTGTTATAGAAAAAAAAATCTTAACGCAGTCGCTGCGTAAGATGAATTATAGTATATAAAAATAAACTTATATAGGAAAATACATACAGATAGTCAGTATGATTTAGATTGCAAAGATCAGAAAATACCACAGAGCTTGCAGCCCTTTGATTTTTTAACATTTTTGTTGTTCGTGTTCACGAAATGTCACAGTTTATAAGCTACATATGGCTGATAAAGTAAATGTCTTATTTGAAATCTTTACATTGTTTTTTAATTTCTATATCTTTCATTTTTATACTCTGTATAACAATCTGTCAATATTTTATAGTTTATAAAATCCTTGTTACTACTAGTATATATATGTACATTTGACAGAGGATTATGGGGAAAACCGGACTTGCATAACTGTATACAGTCTTTATTATTATTATTATCATTATTATTATTATTATATGTATTATTATCATTATCATTATTATTATCACTATTATTATTATTATTGTCACCCTGTTCTGTTAAGCCTTGTCATATATTGTACAAAAAGAAGTATTCATATATTGTAAGACAAATCGTGTTGCACTTTGGTCTAGTGTTGCACCATGTTCTAGAGTTGCACTATGTTCTAATGATTTTATTTAGTTCTAGTGCTGCACTATGTTCTATTGTTGAACATGTTCTAGAGTTACACCATGTTCTAATGCTTTTATTTAGTTCTAGTGCTGCACTATGTTCTATTGTTGAACATGTTCTAGAGTTGCACCATGTTCTAATGCTTTTATTAAGTTCTAGTGCTGCACTATGTTCTATTGTTGAACATGTTCTAGAGTTGCACCATGTTCTAATGCTTTTATTAAGTTCTAGTGCTGCAATATGTTCCATTGTTGCACTATATGTTCTAGAGTTGCACTATGTTCTAATGTTTAAGAAGTTCTAGTGCTGCACTGTGTTCTAGTGTTGCACTATGTTCTAGTGTTGAGCTATGTTCGTGTAGTTATGACTGTTTTATTAGCAATGAATGAATAACAAATTTATAGATTGTAAGATACCGTCTATACTTTGTTCTGTATCACGTGATGTGAAATAACAAACAGCCGGAAGAAATACTTGTCTAAAGTTCACAAATATCTACATAATATAAACACTCTAATAATCGTTTAAAGTCGAGAAGCTGTAAACTAAAGTACTTGTTGACCAAAAGTTGACATTTATTATCCTTTGAAATAAAATTTTCATCCGTTTACTCATTCGTAACTTCGCCCTTTTCGTCAAACTTCGGATCAGGGAAGTTAATCGGAGTCACACTTTGAGACTATTCTCCTTTGGGGAAAAACTTATCTTTGGCACATAATTACATAATTACACTTGATTGTATACTTACAAAATTAATTACAGATAATTGAGTTGAACTGGAGGGAAGTTTAGAATGTCATTGTAATTAAGTAATACTGTAAGTCAATTACATGTACATGTATAGTTAACAAAATAGATTAAACACCTAAACAAAAATAATAAAGCAAAGTCCTAGACAAGACAAAGTTACACACTTTGACAGATTAAATTGTTTTGTTTTTTCTTTTTTCACTTTTTATTTTCCTTGTATTACATCAGGTCGTTATTGGTACGCCTTAACATATTTTATCATCTAATATATTTATACAGTGTTGCCCTCACATGTTCACGTGACCATGGTGACTGTTTATTATTATTATCATTATCATTATCATTATCATTATCATTATCATTATTATTATCATTATTATTATTATTATTATTATTATTATTATTATTATTATATAAAATAGTTTATAGTTTCGACAAAGAAGACAATATTCATTCTAATATATATCTAACGACATTGATAACAGATGTGTTTCAAAAAGAGCTTACAATCGTGGAAGAATTAGAGCGTCTTAGTATTATGTGCACAGATTAGCATAATTCTTTTTTCTAATTTAAATACATATACCCTTGAAGTGTATTTTAAGTGTTTTCTTTCATGTTTAAAAACGTTTGTACATGATTATTTCCCCAATCTGAACAAATTTGAATATAAGATTAAATTTTTAAAAGCAGAATGCCAGCTTACATTTTTTGTGTGTGTACATTGATAAATTTCAAATATTTCTATATACAGTATAGTAAAAAATGTAAAATGAACGAAATATTGATTTTACACAATAGTATTGAAGCAGTGTTTATGTTTTTGGATTTGCCTTGGCTTTCGGCACTTAGTTTTCAAACAATTTATTTCATAGCAAGTAAAATTATGCATAAGTATAGTACAGTCCAGGTTTTAAAGGGGATAAAAATGAAACATGCATAGGCTTTAACTGCATTACGAATTTATTATTTATATATAACAAAAATCTACAAATTTACTCATCTGCTGGCATACAGCTTTAAGCGAGCAGCAAATTGATGCCGAGTCAAATTACCATCTGAATTAATGACTACAGTTGAATAATGATGCAGAAGTTAGTCGTGACAAACCTATCGTTTATCCGATGTAAATTGACCTTATTTATAATTCAAATTTTATAGGTCGAGTATAGCCACGATGGTGAAGGGTGGAAACTACAATAGTGAAAACACGAAATTATATCGAGGTTTCATTACTTCGACTTTTAACCATTGTATTTTCGACTTTCATTATCGTTGCTTCCACTTTTCATCATAATTTCGTTTTTTTTTTCGACTTTTCCAATTTCGTGTTTTCGTTGTTTAGAGTAATTTATGTGTTGCGATGGCCCATACGGGAGACCGTATAAATATGATGATAGCATTAAGTGGGAAATAGAAAAAGTAGCACCAGGAACATCTCCACGATTATTCATAATAATGTAAAGTTGCTCGTAATATGATTGAGAAGTGGTAGGGATGGTGTGGACCTTTTGAGACCATTGCCAACAGGATGGGCACTATATAACTTCATCCTGTTATCTGTTTAACTAGTTTCCTTGTATACTTAGTATTGTATTTTAATGACTTATTTTGCGGAGTCTTTTTGACAGTATAAAATTGTTTTATAAGTACAATGTATTATACAGCTGATAAAATTTGTATTTGACCAGTGCTCCTATACGGTACAATGATATATACAATATTGTTTTAAAATCACATGATAAAGTTTACATCTCGTCGTATTCATTGTTCGAATTGCGTGCCTTTCAGATGTATAAATAATTTTTAAAAAATCATTACACTAATTTACATATAAGATGTTACAGAAACATTGAATGGCTAACAGTCCATGACGTAAACAACACTGATACTATATTTATCTACGCAGTTGTACAATTTAAAGTATATTCTTTAGATTGTATGCGCCTCAAACTAGCTGATATAACTTTTTTTCCATTACATTTAACAAACATTTATACAAGTTTAATAAATAAACCTAAAATTTCATTAACATGATAAAGTTTATCATATTAACATGTATATTATATACAGGCGTGTCGCACATGGCGATGGTCGATTACAAAATACTTACATTTTTCTGTAATTCCTTTCTCAATATTTAACGATAATATCTATCCTCCGTGTCATACTACATCCCACTGTGAGTTTTCCTTTTCCTATAATTCACTTTTCCCACAAAAGCTCATACACATATTATAAACGTGCGTCACTATTTTCTCAGTTTAACAACACATCTTATAAAAAGTGTTAATTTCTTTCCAGATATTTCTATAAACGCTAGATTTTTCTCCTATCTCAGCTATGTAAAATGAAATTTTTCTTTACTTCACTGTGTTATTTGCTTCACTTTAAAAGCTGAATGTACATAAAGTCGTATAGGGTATGATCAAATAATTGTCATCTATCTAGCTGGGTCACCTATAGTAATAATACAACTACACAGTGTCCACAAAGCTGTCGGCTATTTTTGAACGTCTTAATTCTAATGTAAATGTTTACAGGTTTAAGCTCAGTGAAATAATCTTGAATATTGGAAAGAAAGTTAAGAAATATCCAAATTTGCATACCTTTAAAGAAAATATTAGACGATGCATTTACGGGGTGGTAAAAGTTTACATTTAAATAACCCCGAGATTTTTAATGTACTTTTCAATGCTTAAATCATATCCCAAAGCTACTTGTATATATACCGATCCCTTTTTACAATAATTTCATTTCAAACTACAAATGTATTTGGATGGTATTTTTATTACATATGTTTTATGGAATGAAACATGCATTTTCAGACGTTCATTTATTTCCATTATATTCATTGCAGCTTTTGAATTTATCATTCTTCTATTTACTCGTCATCAGTATTCTGTTCTTCTATTTCATGCGTTTTACCAAATGATGATCTAACATAAATCATTATTGCATTCAAAATTATCAATCAAGCATCGTTTTCATTTTCTGACACCCCCAACTTCCCCCCACTTAATATATGTAAAAATATCAAATTCAAATTATTTTCATCAAGCCTCGTTTTTTTTTTTTTTTTTTTTTTTTTTTTTTTTTTTCGAGTCCAAATTTCATATCAAATGCATATTGTACTGGTTCTAGCCCCGTTTTCATTTTTAGAGTCCACATAATCCATATCAAATTCATATTGTACTCTATAAGTTACTTTATATTCATATAGTACAGAACACTGTTTAACTGAGTTTAATTATTGTGTTTTAGACTCAGAAATGGAAAAAACGAGGCTTGATGAAAATAAAATGAAAGCAGAGCTTATGAATATGATATTTTTACATATTTTAATTGTTAGTTAATTTAAGTTATATAATTATCTACTTTGTATATTTTTGTCTATAAATATACAATTTTAAGAGTATATTTGTATTAGTATATTATATATATTTCTATAACTGACATCATTTGATCTTTTCGTTTTATTATTTACGTAATGTAATAACAACTAAGTGATATTTATTGCTTTCATTTTTTTTTTCCAATTTAGATGTAAATTATGTAATTTGTTTTTATCCGTATGTATTATTTGTGTTTGACATTGTTGATGTTTACCATTTAGCTGCATCATTATCTGTTTTGATTACATGTATTTACATTAATAATTTAGATTGATACTTCTTACTATAAATGATAACCATATTACTTACAGGGATTGGAATGTTGCAAAATAGTCGCTGCGTCTAAATTCAGTCAATCTTCTTAACGTGTAAGATTTTAATCGCCTTCCATTTAATCTGGTTTATTGCTTTAAAACGATTTTCATGTAAGTGTAGTTTTAAACCATTAAAGGTGAAATATTTATACTTCTTGGCCTAGAATTTCAACCTGTATTTGATCACTGTATTTAAGATAAGCGAATTGTGTAGTCAAATGAGACTCCGTCCCCTCCCTGAATGACATACGCTTGGGAGGGCACGCGGGGACAACCGGAACATCTCGGTTATTATTCATCTTATCCTTAAGGACAATCGCAACTACTCGGCCCTTTCCGTCAGTCTTCGGATAAGGACCTCGAACACAATAGTATGAATACACAGAACGGATGCGGTATTTCGGTCTAACCTACGCTAATTAATTAAGAAACTAAACATGTAAACAAATAGTAATTTAATGCTGGGAGTTGTTTAAAAGTTTATTTCCAATATATGTAGTAAAGGTTCACCTAAAATAAGTGATATCATAGGTACAAAAGCAAAAAAATAATTATTTATATATTTATTATTATGGTTGTAGAAACCGAAAGTACAAAAAACCAACCTGTTGACATTTCGTCAGATTTGTTTAAAATTGAACATCAGTGGGCATATTTAAAGTACAAATTGTTGTCAGACATATTTTCAAGCAAAAGAGTACCGAAACAGGCGTTAGATGTCAAATATATACATTCGTTTTACATTATCTCTGTTTTTGTTTACATCAGTAAACCACGTGGTATAACTACTTTCAATCCGTATTGTTTCCGAGGTCAATATTGTAGATAATGGCCGAGGCAGTTCCGAATGCCTTAAGGAAAGGGCCGAGAAGATGCGATTGACTACGGGATAGTCGTGTAATAAAAGCGTTGGTAAATGTCATGCACTATGGTATAGTCATGTAATAAAAGCGTTGGTAAATGTCATGCACTGCGGGGACAGTCATGTAATAAAAGCGTTGGTAAATGTCATGCACTGCGGGGACAGTCATGTAATAAAAGTGTTGGTAAATGTAATGCACTGCGGGGAAAGGCATGTAATAAAAGCGTTGCTAAATGTCATGCACTATGGGAATAGTCATGTAATAAAAGCGTTGCTAAATGCCATGTACTGCGGGGATAGTCATACAATAAAAGCGTTTGTAAATGTCATGCACTGCGGAGATATTCATGTAAAAAACGTTGCTGGATGGCATGCACTGCGGGGATAGTCATATAATAAAAGCGTTGCTAAATGTCATGCACTGCTATGCACTGCGGGGAAAGGCATGTAATAAAAGCGTTGCTAAACGTCATGCACTGCGGGGAAAGGCATGTAATAAAAGCGTTGCTAAACGTCATGCACTGCGGGGAAAGGCGTGTAATAAAAGCGTTGCTAAACGTCATGCACTGCGGAGACAGTCATACAATAAAGGCGTTTGTAAATGTCATGCACTTCGGAGATATTCATGTAAAAAACGTTGCTAAATGGCATGCACTGCGGGGATAGTCATGTAATAAAAACGTTGCTAAATGTCATGCACTGCGGGGATAGTCATGTAATAAAAACGTTGGTAAATGGCGTGCACTGCGGTGATAGTCATGTAATGTAAGCGCTACTAAATGCCATGTACTGCCAGGGGAAATATTTTAGCGCCTAAACAAAACCACTGTATTTGCCCTGCCAAGCTGAGACATACATGCCCTGTTTGTCCCACTATCGCGCGCGCTTTACATTGCATGGAGATCTAGGGACGGGTGATGCATTATAAAGATTTTCTTTTAGAAGAAATTTTGTTAATATGTTAAATATTGTTACAGGTATGTCAATAGAATCTAAATAGGGCACAAATTTATAAGGTACATTGTAGTACAAGAAATATGACCCAAAATCACAAATTATTTTTAAAAAAAACGGGACTTCTAATCGTTTTAATATTTAAAGAAAACATCAATATATACTAGTACTTGAAATGAAATACATTACATTACATAAGATAAAGCCAAAATCGATTCCATGCTATATTTATGTCAACCGCTAACAATACTAGCAGACGACATTCCCTTTTTCTCCCCATATTTTTATCTGACATTATTGAAATATTTCAATGCGGAACAAACGTGGTCCCATACAATAAGATGACAAAATGTGTGTCCTTGTTTCTGACCTCTACATACTAAAGGGTGTGCTACAACTTAAAATAAATTTATTGTTTGGACTATGTGTGAATTTATAACAGCACCATGCGTTATATAGTAGACTTGAGTACACTTGCTTATGGGTATGTTACAAATTAGAACACAATGTTTTTCACAAGCATTTTTGCCAGCATGAGTTTATTATTTTTTTTGTACGCCTGTACAATTGGAAGATTGCGATTAATTTCTGTAAAAACTTTGCGATTAATTTCTGTAAAAACTTACCATAATTAAGTACATAAATACTTCATTGAATAAATTTAGTCTATAAAGCCATTCTTTATGAAATGTTTACTATAATTTTTTCTCTGTTCTGTTTACTATAATTTTTTCTCTGTTTTTGACCTCACGATTCAAAAGACTGGCTTTTTTATTTTTTGCATTTTCTGAATTAAGAAGAAAATAGTCCGACATGACATTAGTGAAAATACGGAAACTATTTTAAACTGCTGTAAAAATAATTTTTTACAGTGAAAATACGGAAAATGAAAATGCATGTATGCATATTATTTCATCAATATTTCTCCATAATTCATTTAATAAGTATATATAATACATGAATATTACACGTAAACAGAAGAAAACATTCCGGAACGAAATATTCTTTTGCTAGTTTAAATAGGGTTTTTACTGTTTAATTATGGTTTTGTGCATTTAAAAATGTCACTTCAAATAATACATGTACACTAAAATATTTCTTTCTTACATGTATTTTGCAAGTACTGGTATTTTTTTTCAAAATTCAAACAATAACTTTATAAATTACAAGCACAGATATATATATATATGTATGCACTTCAAAATCAACATAGAGCCTAAACACATTTAACTGAATGTACATATTCCTTTTTTCCGAAAGTTACCAAAAAGAAAACTTCTGTTGATAAACTTAAGCAGTAAGTATACATGAACAGTCTAAACTGATACAATTTTAAGTGATCGTTATTGTGCCAAATTCACAATATTTCCCCACGTTTCCCTTTCTTAATGGATGAATTAAACATTTTCTGTACTTTGATTTCCTATGTCGTAATTTTAAAACATATACATATATAATACGCATATTTCACTATGTTTTTACACAGTTATATATACATGTATATCATTATTGGCATGAATAATCCAAGAAATGAAACTTAGTTAGTACATGACAAATAGAGAGTAAATTTAAAGTAATGTGCACCTGTATTTATCAACAGCACAAAAGTTTTAAAATTTTAAAGGCCCATAGTATGCCAAAGAAATACTATCATTTTTGACAATTCTAAAGAATTAAAAAATGGATTTCTTAATGAAGAAAGACAACATACAGAATAAACAGAAAGAAATATTATAAAAAGTAATGTTATTGTCTGTATTGTAAAACAATATCACTATACGTTTAGTACTTACATTTTATCATGATACCGTGTATGTAATCAACTAATTTTGTAAATCAACACAATAGGATACAAAATATACAATGTACATGTATAAGTAACACAATTGTCACATTCAAAGTTTTCATTTCCTGTCAGATATTAGTCATGTTTCCGGAAGTTTTGT